ATTATAATATAGATATAATTATTTATAAGGAAAATACTAATAAATAAAATATAAGATAATATAATATTTGAATGATATTTTTAAATTTTTTTATTCTTGATATAATTTTCTAGATATATAATCATTATTTATATTAACATTCAATAAAATAACTTATGATATCAGTTTATAATCGAATTTAATATTCAAAATTACTAGAAATATTATAAAGTTTGAAGATTTTTTTTAATATAAATTCTTTTAAAAATTGGAAAAGTAATTTATTAAATTTTTTTGAAAAACTATATTAAACTATTTATTCAAACACTGTAATGAATATATTTTATTATATTGTTTTTTCTCTTTATTAATTTTTAATCAAATTAGATATTATTTCTAATTAAAACTTTATTATTATATAATTTTAATTATCATTATATTATATACTTTCTATTATATAAGTATTTCGATTTCTAAATAAAATTCAAATAATTATTTTCGATTATTAAATTTTATTAAAATATATAGCGATATTTTAAAAACAATTTTTCAATTACTTTTATCTTTTAAAAAATCATGTATATTTTTCAAAACTTTTATAAAACTTGAATTTCAATATTTTTTGAAATTTTAAACTTTATCTCAATAACATTCATATAAAATAATTCAATAAATTATTCCAAAATCTTATAAACAAGTTCTAATATAAACTTTTCTTAAATTATCAGTATTTAAAATTGATATTGTTTTAAATCAATCAATATTTTATTTGATATCTTAAATCTTCCAAAATTTTACTATTATATAAAAATAATTTCAAAGTTCTTATAAATAATTTCGAAATAATTATAATAATATTTCGATTTATAATCCATTTTTGTTTTGATAAATAAAAGTGTGCAAGATATAGGGTTGTGCAAGATGTAGGGATATCGGTTACTCTATCTGTAACGATTATACTTCGATACTTCGACCATGTTTTGGAATGAAGAGAAGATTTCCTGTACCTATCGACTTTAGCATACTGTACATACATACATTTAATTACCAATCTTAGACAACATTTACTTCACTTACGATAATAAGTCAAGATATATGGTTGCTTGTCTTCAATGCCCCTTGCTTGAATGTTGATTGCAAACCAACATATCTTCTGCCATACGAATGCAAAGTCGTAATATAATAATGCTCTTTCTAATCATGCTTCCATCATACAATCGGGGACAGCATTAATCACAAGGTCGGTCAGTTGATGACTCAACAATTTGAATGGAATCCTAGGTACCTAGGGACTGAAAGCCTTCTAAGCCAAGAAGCCAACGTACCCTGAAACTACCCCGCAAACACGAAATTGTGCCATGCGGTACACCAGTATGAGCGGAACGAGAAGTAGCGGGATAAGGGCAAGTGGTGGAATGAATGGCTGGATGGAACAAATACACCGATTGAGCTATTGTTTCCAATATTGCGAAGTAATTGAATCTTGTTCCTAGAATCGAGTCTATCTATCTGAACCGTCTCAGACTACTTTGCTAGACAGATATGTAATAATTGAATCAAGTAAATTACATAAGACTATCTCTACATGTGACTAATTCAAAGAAACCGTAGAGTTCACCATCTACAAATAAGGAAGGTTGACGCTATGAAGTACCCCGGATCTAACTGTTTTGGTAAGCCGAAACTACCCCTCTCATAACCTAGCTTCCCGAGCTTCTCTAGCTTATTATCATCATCCATCCCGCATATCTGTTTGTACTTCCAAACTTCTTGAGACACCAAATACACATCACCCTTTTTTCCAGATCATCACAACACCAAGAAGATCAAGATATTAAACATGGTTACTGCTTCGTACGCCTTCTTTGAGGCCCTTGTTGAGGTAACCAACCAACCTTATCTTATCATCCCAAAACTTCACATGTAAACAGATAATCTAACAATTGATTAGGCGGGGGTAACTCATTGCTTCGTTAACTTAGGATCAGATCATCCTTCTATTTTAGAAGCTTTGATTACACTGAAAAAGGAGAATAAGGGTCCAGAAGTCATAGTAAGTTTCCAAACATATCAATTGATCAATCTCTTGATTACATTTCCATGATTATAAACTAACAACGCTTTCCAGACATGTCCAAACGAAGTATGCACACAAATACTCTTCCCACTTTTGAAATATACTCATATCTTCCATAGATGGTAGCCCTCTCCATGGCCGATGGATATGCCCGTCTAACCGGTAAACCTCAATGTGTAATCGTACACGTCGATGTAGGAACCCAAGGATTGGGAGCTGCGGTTCACAATGCCTCATGCGGACGGGCACCCGTTCTTATATTTGCCGGTCTATCCCCCTATACAATTGAAGGAGAAATGCGCGGATCACGAACGGAATATATCCATTGGATACAAGATGTACCCAACCAAGCCGAGATTGTCAGGCAATATTGTCGATACTCAATGGAGATTAAGACGGGGAAGAATATTAAACAGATGGTCAATAGGGCTCTTCAGTGGGCTACTAGTGCTCCTGCTGGACCAGTCTATTTGTATTCAGCAAGAGAAGTCATGGAAGAGGAAATTGATGATTATGACTTAGTTCAGGAACATTGGAATGCAGTAGAGCCAGCTGCACTTTCTGAGAGTTCAGTTGCTACGATTTCTGAAGCATTAGTCAATGCAAAGGAGCCATTGATTATTACTGGCTATAGTGGTCGAAATCATAAGTCAGTAGGAGCTCTGGTTGAACTGGCGGACACCGTCAAAGGTCTTCGTGTTTTGGATACCGGTGGGAGTGATATGTGCTTTCCAGCTGATCATCGTGCTTGGTTGGGATTGAGATATGGCAGTGACAAGGCCATTGAAACTGCCGACGTCATTGTTGTCATTGACTGCGGTACATACTCAACCTTTCAACAATGATATATGGAGACTAACATACTTTCATGCAGATGTACCCTGGGTTAACACTTTGTGTCATCCTTCAAAATCAGCTAAGATATTCCATATCGATGTTGACCCACTCAAACAACAAATGCCAGTAAGTCCTCCCAGTTTTATCTATGCGAACATCTTTCATGAAGATTAACACTAACCAATTTTAGGTATTTTATCTCGCCGCACTTTCTCGTTACAGAGCGGATAGTTACACATCCATAAGCCAACTCACAAAATACATCAAAAATGCTAGTGACTTCGCCAACACACTCTCCTCCTCACCATACACCGAGCGCTGGGAAGCTCTCGCTACAGATCACACCAAACGCCTTGAAACTATTAACGCTGCTTCATCAAAAGTTTTCGAAGATGATTCTTTTGGCACTGGTTACCTCTGTCAACAATTACGTAAGATCGTACCTGCTGACACAATCTTCGCTATCGAAGCCGTAACCAACACCGTATTCGTAGCAGATAACATTCAAGCTACTCTCCCCGGTTCTTGGATCAACTGTGGAGGAGGAGGCTTAGGATGGTCTGGTGGTGGAGCTTTAGGTATTAAATTAGCATCTGAGATTGAGAATGGGAAAGGAAAGGGGAAGTTTGTCGTCCAGATTGTTGGAGATGGAACATTCTTATTCTCGGTTCCAGGAAGTGTTTATTGGATCTGTCAAAGATATGGTATTCCTGTTCTAACTATTGTTTTGAATAACAAGGGTATGTTTTTCTTGATGGAGTATTTGGAAATTCTGATTGCAGTTACTAACGATGGCACAGGTTGGCACGCACCAAAACGATCTCTCATGCTAGTTCATCCAGATGGTATGTTTTTCTCCTTCTACTTCTCACAATCAAACTCTCGTTCGTGACACATCTCTAACAAAATATCAGGTATTGGATCCAAAGCCACAAACGAAGAATTGAACATTTCTTTCGCACCACAAGTTCCAGATTACGCGGGTATCGCTCGAGCCGCATCTGGAAACAGTGTAATGGCCGAAAAGATTTCGAAAGCTAGTGAGATCGAGAAGGTCTTACTGAAGGCTGTGGAATGTGTTAAGGGAGGCACGACGGCGGTTATCGATGCCGTTGTTGTGCCTGGTTGTTAGGGGGGTGCATAGCTGGCGATTGAATATGCATATGGCGATTCGGAGGAGGGAAATTTGATGATTTACAGGCTTTTATAGGATTTTTCAAAGGTAGATTAGATATGCGTGCATCATCGTAGGGGGTTTATTGATGAAATTATGGCATTTGTTACAACATTCATGGAAGTGATGTTGTGTTATGGTGAATACGCTTTTGAAAGACAGAAACGAGATTACGCGAAATTGGAGGGAGTGAATCATTCAGGATGGATAGATTTCTTTTGGAATATCTAATTACTCGGGTGACGGGAAACTTTGATCTGAGGTTTGAGAGTTGGATATCTAGGTAGTAGGGATGATAATGATAGTGAATCAATTAATTCATGTAGGTAGGCGAAGTGAAGAATAGGTCATTATTAGTGTGAGAGGAGATGGGATGAGAGGAGAGTTGATAGGAGGAGAATTAATGAGAGGAGAGTTAATAAGAAATAAAAGTAAATAAGAACTAGAGTTTATAAAATGAGATGAGAGGGAATTAATTTATCCCCGCAGATGCGAGATGAGCCCGATAGAATAAGACTACGACATCCGCCATACGACATAACCATAACCCATAAACCATACCACACTAAACCATAAACCCTCCCCCCTCCCCCTCCCCTCCCCTAAAAAATCCCCTCCCCCATCCACCTACCCCAAAAAGCCCCGTCCCGCGATCCTAATCACTCATAACTCATTCTCTACCTACCTCGTCTCTCCGATACGGTACTCGGTAGGGTCGCTAGGTCTTAATACCCCTCCCTCAATTCCCCTCGCTACCTACAACTACTAACACTCCCCCACTCCCCCAGTCGAAGGGCGAGGGAGAGAGGGGCACAAAACAGATCTAGATGTAGATTGTATTGAAACTTCATCACCTACCCTAGTAGATAGATAGATATCTAGCTAGATATCTAGTATCTAAAATATCGAGACGAAAAAGGATTGTTATATTAATCGTTCATCTACTCGAGTATCTATTTGTTGATTTATGTATTGACTCAATAAATCATTCAGAACTCTTAGTATGATCTAACAAAAATCATGCACATTCTCAATTCACCACGATTTTCACATTTTTCACATTTTCCCAAAATATTCATAATCTAAACCTTTCAAGGTTATATATCAAGAACCACTCCCCTATCTCGCCAATTCTTCAACTAAGACTCATTAATAATCTTTTCCATCTCCTCCACATCCTTGACCACCGTCGTTAAATTATCATAACCATCTTTCGTGATCAGAATGTTATCTTCAATTCTGACACCTATTTTTATTCGTTAGTTTTCCTGCATTCAAATTCAAATAGGGAAGACAGGAGGGAGAAGGAAGAAAAACCTACCTCCAACTTCCCAGTACTTCTCCAAAACATCCGAGTTGATATATTGAGCATGTGCCGGATCTTTAAGATATGGTTCGATGATGAAGCGACAGAAATAAATCTGATGTATTTGTATTAGTTACAACCCCCAGAAGAATAGACAGGGAGAAGGGAGACGCAAGAAAAGAGAAAAGAAGAAAACATACACCCGGTTCAACAGTGACTACACTCCCCTCTGGCAAATTCCCCCTGACTCTCAAATACCTGAACAATCTATCCTTATCTTCATAATTTGGATGTCCACCAGTATCATGCGTATCCATTCCGAGATAATGACCCAATCCGTGCGGGAAAAACGCTACACTTGTTCTTGCTTTTAAAATCTCTTCTCTATCACCTTTCAAGATTCCTAAGGAGAGAAGTCCCTCGATTGCGACTTTGTGGGCAAGGAGATGTACTTCGTCCCAGGAAACGCCGGCTTTGAGCATGGAGATACATTGCGATTGCATGGAGAGTACTATATCGTAGATGGAGCGAGACTCGGGCGTGAAGTGGCCGTTTATGGGAAAGGTTCTTGTCTGTCAGGATGATTAGTATATCTGTCAAAACCCTTTGAGGAACCTCAATCCAGAGTATAGAAAATAATCTTACAATATCCGAAGCATAACATTGATACTCTCCTCCAGCATCCAAAAGCAAATTCAATTTTCCCTCCAACTCTTCTGAATTCTTCATATAATGTAATGTAGCAGCCGCAGTACCACTAGCCACAATACTGTGATAAGCTTGTTCTCTCGCTCCGTTCGCAATGCTCTCTTTAATGAAAAGCGCCTCTAATTCCCTTTCATTCTTTGCATGTTTAACTGCCTTCAAAACTGCCGTGTGTCCCACTTTTGAAATCTCATTCGCCTTTCTCATCAACGCAACTTCGTATTCTGATTTGCGTACACGAGCTTCTTCGATAGCTTCTTTAAGAAGCGTGAAATCTTTCTGGGGAAATTCAAGGAAGGTGATGTGGGTAGAAATCTGGGGCGCGATAGCCCAGACCTTTGTTTGATTTGGGAGGGCCAGTTGCGCGTTTATGGTATCGGTTGTGAGGACTTCGTCGACGTCATAACGGGCGAGTGCTTCTTTAGGAGAAAGAGGAAGACCAGTCCAGATGACTGATTCCGGGTCGATTGGTGGAATGAAGAGAGTACTTTTGTCTTTTGCGATGTCATAGGTAAAGTAAGCGTCAGGGAGATCGCAGCCGGTGAGATAGTAGAAAAAGCGTCGTTGTCTGGAAACAAAATTGTTAGTATGAGCTGTTTGTGAATTGAGAACATCTTTAATATATGCCGCATTCAATATTTAGCATTTCTCCCAACAACGTACCTGAAAGGAGCAGCCTCATCATTATCCTCAATCATAACCGTCTTCTGCGCCTCCAAATACAAGACTCCCTCTGCCTCGGGCTCCTTACTCTTAATATACTCCACGACCTTCCTCACATGTTCTTTCGCCGGGTACTTCCCCTTCAAAGTCGTATCGGTAGATGAAGCCATATTGCGATGAATAATCCTCGGATTGATTCTTGTCTGAGATATATCACCGGTAATTCGAGCTCTACCCAAACTGTATTCTCTCCAGCTTTGAGATATAATTCCCGGTTGGATTGGTATTGAAAATGTCGTTTGAGAAATACTAGCTCTGGAAGAAGAAAATTGTACCTGTGCTACCCACGCTATTCTTTGTCGTCTATTCGGACAACGTGGTGTGAATCGCGGGGTATTTGACAAGCGGAACATGGCCATGGCCGTTTGTAAGCGTTGCTGATGAAAATCACAGCTTGCCTCGGTGAGGGGCTAACGGTTGGGCTAAATTTTAGAAACTTGACATTATTACTAGGTAGCTATCGAATTTTAAGCTTGGCAGTTTTATTCCTCAAAAATCGATACTAAAAAAGGAGTTTACCCATGTGAAGATCTCAAGAGAATGCATATAATGAAAGTAAAAATCGGATTAGACTATTGAATGTATTCCGGATATCATTAAATTCTGGATCTTCAATCATCCAATATCAGTATTTCAAACACATTGACAGTGTACCTGCTGCTAGAAATGAAACTACACTATCAAATTATCGAACAATCCTATTGCCCATCCACACGATTTGGAGCAATGTATACCATCCAACAATCGTGAACCAAGCCGCACCCATTATAAAACGCTTCCAATGCTGCCTCATATCCATGTTGTAGCGCCTGATCATCTCAACTGTGTTCTCTATGGTAACGAGGCCAAATCTTATATGCAATCTGCTTCAGTTCCTTCATCCGGGACTTGTTCCATGCCATCCATATCTTGCTCATCTCTCAGGTTCAGAAGCCGTGTACGTCTTGACTCGGCCACTTTCCTACTTTCCAACATCGCCTGTATCATATTTAGGCTATGCCTAACGCACATCTAAGCATCCGCCGTTACTTCTAACACTGTCTCTTGTGCAGCCATGCCTGGTCTACCCTTATTTAAGAGAGACATTTTCGGGACGAAATTCACTCCCCCCTGTAAAGACGATAATTCCTTTAGACTTATCGCGTGCTGTAAGAGAGCTTCTTTGCTCGTCTTAAACTCGAAATTTGTAAGGAAACAAAAATTGATTTCCAATCTCGAAAGCTCTTGTTCACTAACTCCTCCGACTTTTGAGAAGCGTGCATGGGCATAGCTTTGGTCCTCGAGTGCTTTCATAGCCACACGTAACCCAGCTAATATGAGTCGATGTGAGTTTCGCCTTGTTACAGGTATGACTCGTTCATCGACTGCCACCCTGTGTATGTAGGAACTTGTTGCAAGATAGACAGCTGTTGACATTGGACAAAATGTGTGTATTCGCATCAGATAGTCTTCCAAAGAGATCGGAGGAGGATGCTTCGAATAAAATTTTCGTGTGATAGCACTGTGTTGAACATTCAAAGGTTCGGCATTCTCTCCAACGATAATATATGGTTCTGCGGGCACGACATGCTGTGTTTCCAGAGGTTTCGGACGAAGATTTACTCCATCTATAACATCTGATCCAGAAGTTCGTTGTCGAAAACCTGCTAAGTTTGTCCATGATCCAGACCGTCGTATATTTTCTTTCTCTGCCTGCATTCCCCTCATATTTGGCATCGTCGTTTCGGCCGACGCTGGCATGGGAGGAATATCCCCCGTAAATTGAACTAGAGCTTCGATACCAGCACATAACAATTTAAGTGCTGTTATCGGCGAAAGAGTAAATATATCGATGCTACTTGGAGATGGTGGTGAAACTCCACGATCATTTGCACAAGGGTCAACCGTCAGACCTGCATCGGATGAAGGATTCGGTGGTGGTGGTAGTTCGTGGTCAGTATGGTCATCTGAACCGTGGTTCGAATTCACGAAAGCCGTCGAGTCAGATCCATCTGTAGGTAAGGGAGACATAGTTCCGGATTTATTGTCTGTGAAACTAAATCTCTGTATCCGACAGTAGAAAATCTAAACCTTTCGATTTTTGTTATCTCTCTCCACCAAGTATCCAAATGAACGTGGATGATGAGATCAAGAATTCAGAAGACGCCGGGGCCAGGGAGGCTTAATGGATGCTTGGAGGAGCTCCAAGAAGCGCATGTTCTCGGTGACAGACGATATGCAAAATTTGTTGTTGGAAGGCGAGATTGGGTTGTGTATGGAGGAATTGATGGTCTTATATTTGAGTGGAGTGGGAGTGGATTCGGTTTATAGTTGGTTTATAGGGTTTTTGGGAATTTCCCTCAGCGCTAATAAGAGAAATGAACAGAGGTGCAAAAGGTATTATTAGTACAGCAGAGGAATGGGTGGGTAGGTATAGAAAGTGACAAGGAAGGTTACACAAGCATGTGCATTGTGCATTGTGCATTGTGCGGACAACATCAACTGATCGGTCCCCTTGTCTCTCCTGGAATTGTATTTGAATTGAATTAAAATGAGGAGCATGGGATTATGCGTCGACAGGAGGTGGCATCCGTAACATTAGCAGCATTCAGCCTGATTGTGGTACGTACGGAGAGCACTGTATCCAATGCCTAAGAGCAGAGTATCCGAAGAGAAAATATGCTCCTCTCCAAGTCTCAACAAGGACATCCGTCCACCAATCCTCAAGCCAATCCTCAAGCTAGTTGATAGTGACTGGTGACTAGCGACTAGATATCGACACAGTGGAACTAATTGCAATGAGCCGACGCTTAGAGACCTTAGCATCGAGCGGCCACTCCACTACCCACTGATAAGAACCAAGAGGTCGGACGGAAAAAGAAGAAAAGGAAAAAAAACTACAAGGAGCACGTGGATCAACACCAGGGTAAAAGAACCTCGGGGAAGACCAAGTCTAGCAACGGGGCTTATACATTGCGCGCACGCCACGCAGTTGATGAAGAGGCCTAGGTAGTTACTAGGTAGGTAGGTAGCTCATCTGCAGAATCAGATCAAGTACATACGGAGTCGAGGGAGTCTAATGAATTCCAGATCAATCACTTCCAATTTCCAACTTCCAACTTTCCTTCAACCAATAATCACATCTCACATCAATCCATCGCAGGATCTGGAATGAATACTACCGTGTGGTGGAGATGGTCAGATATCTACCTAGCATCTTATTATATAAGGGGTTTACGAGGCGAGAGCCACGATAATGGCTCGATACGAATCCCTAACCATCCTTACTAAATCTGGATGAATGGAAAGACCACGAGACTCTCAAAATTTGACATTGGGAGATTATTCAGTTACAGAATTACAAATAGAGTAAAGTACGATATTCAAGATAATGGCTTAAGCGCACCCGTCAGGTAATAGTAGGAAGGAGGCTTAGAGTGACTTGTTAATTTATGAACTAGATACCCAGATACCTAGATACCCAGATACACTTCTTAATTTCCTCTACCTCTTCGTGAAATTGGCTCATATTGGGCATGTTGCATTTAGGACATATAGCATTCTATGGATGTTGTATCCGACTAGTAAAGTAAACATTGGCAAGCATTTCCCCGCATCTAGACATTCCTATCAGACCCTCCGCGCTGGGATTATTATCGGAATCACCACTCCGCTATCCCCTGAGATTATACCAATGTGCAGATATCTTGCAGATAGTGCTTAACGACCCTGGCGCACAATACCAAGTGATGGCTAGACTGGGTAAATTCTTGATTCGTTGGGTATACACGGTATTCATTTAAACTAAAACCTCGAATACCAATTCGAGTGTACGCCAAACTCCTTTTCACATGTTCATTTGATGCCCTGTTTATATATCATTCATTGCCTTTCTAATGATTCAATCCTTCCATCTAGCCAAGAATTTTGCCATATCATCTGTAGGCATTGATGCCGCAGCAACCTTTCATGTGTTAGCCACGTCAAGTTTGGATTGTTGGGTTTGTGTCTTAAACTTACCGTATTAGGATGACTTGCAAAGGAAGCTGTTTGAGCTTGAGTCAAAGTTGTGTCAATGGTTGCTGAGCTTAAAAACGTGGTGGCTAGAACAACATCCGATTTTGGATATTGAGGTTCTGTGTTCGTGGCCGTTATTGTGGTACCAGGCATCAGACCCATTGGGGCATATCTTGTAAGACCAGTTTGTGATTGGTATGGGATTCCATAAACACCCTCGTCCGCAGTTCCTGATGATGATGCGACTGCCGTGTCTGCCACATTATTGACAGTTGCTGGTCCAGCGGTGCCAGTGATTGTGTACACGGCTCCAAAAGTCCCCGTCATGCCGCTAATAGAGAACCTATTCGAATATACTATAACAGTCCCTGACGCTGTGGTTGCTATCATTCTCATGAAGCTGTATCATCATCATCAGCATCGAGGCTTCTTAAACTCTGACTTCATAAAACTTACTAGGCATTGGTCAACGATGACCCCCTGGCCGCTGGTACAGTAACACTAGTCGAAACAGTTGACCCCAAGGTAGCGGAAGCAGTTACGGGGTATATCACTTCGAGATCCGCAGCCGAACTACCTGCGCAGACATCTAGTTGATAGGTGGTAATATCAGCTATCGCTGGAGCATCTCCGTTATCTGCCCACGTAACAGTAAATGGAGTTGCAGCTGTTTCTACCGCTGCGGCTGCGGGTGCTGAGAATGTCGGATATGCAATTGCGAATGGAGCATATGCCAGAAGGACTAAAGCTTGGGAGAAGCGCATGATGAATATTGTTCGTTCGCGCTCGCAGATTGAATATCAGTGCTGATTATTGATCTTCGTATAATTTCTGTTTGGCAGGGCGAGTTCAATGGTCCTTATCGAGTCGTACGTGGTTAAAATTGATTGATAGATGTTAAACTTCCAAATATATTCAAGATTCCAAACACAGAGAGAAGAAGGCGGAAATGTAACTTTGAACTTTTGGCCTTAGGCGGTGAAGGGGGTTGCATCTCAACGTTCACGGTGTTTGAAGTTCTATAATTAGCATGTGAAAGTTTCGACAGATTCTGTGCTATTGGATACAATTTGGATTGATATCAGGCAAATGCCATTCGGACAATATTACAATGCCCCTTCCTAAGTACCTACCATGAAATACAATACCTGTATGCAATTTCTCCAAAATCATAGCAAATCGTGATAAATGTACTAGTATGTAGGTATCATTTTGTAGGTTTTAAGCCTTATAAGGTAAAGGTTACTCTTCGGTCTCCACGGCTACTTGCGGTCAAATTTTGCCACGAATTTTACCTCCCTAGTACCTTATCGCTTATCCAGACCAAAGACCCCTCCCCTTCACTAAAACTCGAAGGGTAACTCAATGAAGAATTTCATTGTCAAGCTTTTACTCAGACATTCTACAGCAAATTCTCCTTCCACATTGCGACATTAATCACCAATACTAAAGAGGATAGTCATTTATTTACTTCTTCTCTTTCATCGCCATCATTCCCTTTCTTTCTTTCATTCATCCACCCCGTTTCTATTCGGAATCATCTACGAATCGTTAAATTTCAGCTCAAACATTTAGAACCGTCATCAGCATGGCATCCATTACTAGTCCTGTGCGGGCTCCAGTCCTTGCAATGAGTGCTTCCGAGTTGATTGGAAATACTCCTTTGGTACGATTAAATAAGATTCCACAGAGTTTGGGTATCGAAGCCGAAGTTTATGCCAAGGTCGAACTCTTCAACGCTGGCGGAAGTATCAAGGATCGTATTGCCCTTCGCATGATCGAGGAGGCGGAAAAGTCTGGAAGAATAAAGCCCGGAGACACTCTCATTGAGCCCACCAGTGGAAACACGTAAGTTGTTCTATACCACTTTGGCATTAATCTCTAATCATTCTCTAGCGGTATTGGTCTCGCTCTCGTTGGAGCTATTAAAGGTTACAAGACAATCATTACTCTTCCCGAAAAGATGTCACCCGAAAAGGTCGCTGTTCTACGAGCACTTGGAGCCACTATTATCCGTACCCCAACTCAAGCAGCTTGGGACGCCCCCGAGTCCCACATCGGAGTGGCAAGACGATTGTTGAAAGAGATTCCAAACTCTCACATCCTCGATCAATATGCCAACGAGAACAACCCCAACGCACACGAATTTGGAACTGCAGAAGAAATCTGGAAGCAAACTGATGGCAAGATTACTGCTGTTGTCGCAGGAGCTGGTACAGGTGGAACTATTACTGGATTATCTAAAGGTTTAAAGAAACACAACAAAGATGTCAAGATCATTGCAGCAGATCCCCATGGATCCATACTTGCAGTTCCAGAGAGTCTCAATCAAGAACACGCCAACGAATCATACAAGGTTGAGGGAATTGGTTATGATTTCATTCCTGATGTTTTGGATAGAGATTCTGTCGATGTGTGGTACAAGACAGATGATCGTGAATCATTCGCCTACGCACGTAGATTAATTGCCGAAGAAGGACTTCTGGTAGGAGGTAGTAGTGGTAGTGCTATTGCAGCCATGGTAAAGGGAGTCCGTGATTTGGGACTTGGTAAAGGTGATACCGTGGTAGTCATCCTACCAGATAGTATTAGAAGTTATCTCAGCAAATTTGCCGATGACGACTGGTTGGCCGCCAACGACCTCCTTCCTCCTACTCCAGAGTCCTCCTTGCCAGCATCCCCGGTCGTCAAAGCCCAATCCAAGAAAGATCCATACTCTGGAGCGACTCTTCGATCCCTTCGCCTCAAACCAGTCACATCCGTCCTCGCCAACTCCTCTTGTTCCGAAGCCGTCGAAACCATGCGTGAAAAGGGTTTTGATCAACTCCCTGTCCTCGCTCCAAAGGGCGATAAACTCGTCGGTCTTGTCACCCTTGGAAATCTTCTCAGTTGGATCAGTCGCGGTCGTGCTACCGGAAAAAGCCCAGTTTCAGATGTCATGTTTGATTTCTCCCACATCCCTGAAGTTATCACCGATCCCAAGGATATCAGTCATCTTTCTTCGCCTCCTAAGAGCAATGGTATCGAAACGACAAAGGATGGCAAGAAGCAAACCACTCCAAAGCGCAAATTCGTAGAGATCACACTCGATACTCCTCTCTCCGCCTTGAGCAAATTTTTCGAGTGGAATAGCGCTGCGATTGTTACCGAGAAGGGAAGTGAGACTGATGGATTGTCGAAACCAGTCGCAGTTGTCACCAAGGTTGATTTGTTGAGCTGGATGGTTAAGCAAACGAAAGTTTAAGGGGTCAGGTGCATCGTGTCGGGGTTGGAAAAGGCGTTTTGGAGCAGTGTTGCATGCACTGCGATATTATTTTTGGGTTTCAACACCTATTGGGATGGTACAGAGCTCCTGCATTTACGGTGGGTCATTGGGGAAATGAGCATTAAAAATGAAAGACATAGATATAGTAGTCAGAAGATGTAGAGCTTCTCAAGAAAAGATACCCGCTTCATCAGCAAACATAAACTCTCCATACCATCCATGCCAGTCATGAAATAATCACCATTCACATGTGAGATCGATTGAGAAGCCTGAGAAACGTCATCGTTTCTTTAATCATACAATTTACAATTCGTTCATGTCTCTGACAGCTTTAAGCCTACCCAGGCACACGCGCGCGAACGAACGAACTCATCTAAAAACCTAAAAAGCCCAACGGCTTTTGACCAAACCTTTTCGTAAGTATTATGGGTTGGTCTGAATATATGCCACGGTAAATGAAAATTGATCTCCGCCCACCCTCAGTATGCACCATTTTTTGATCGAGTAAAAAACGAGAAGCGTGTAAGCAATTACCCTCAACGCCATGCATCCGTCCATTCTACCACTCCAGATTGGAGATTTGAAAATAGCTCAAATACCCACCCCTATTGTATGCCCATCTATTCTTGGTCTGTTGATCCAATCATGTATGCAGGCATTTTATGTAATGTAAGAATCCACATCCCTTGCCTTCCCATTCCCTTCCCAGCCCCTTTTTTCTAGAGTCTAAGCGATCAAACGTCTTCAAACTCCATATCCTCTTCACTCTCCTCTTCATCTTTTATAGCCGGTGCTGCTGGAGCAGGCTCTTCAATTCTAACTCTCTTCGTTGGTCTATCCTCATTCGGTGTATTAGGTCCTGTTACCGGACTTCCTGCGCCTGTGCTCGTTCCACTTGCTGAAACACTTTCATTTCGTGAATGCTTTAGAACACCACTGAGACCACTACCACTCGTTACACTGGGCTTAGTTTCTGTGCCTCCGACCGAGCTAGCTGGAGTGGCGGCACCAGATGTGGTGCTATTTGGAATGACGTCTTCGAAGCCTTCTTCTTCTTCTTCGTCGGTTTCATACTCTTCGTCGGCCTCTTGTTCGAGTTCTTTAGCTTGTGCAGCCTTTAGTTGCGCAAAATAATCATCAATTTCAGCCCCTTCACCAGTACCGTCGGTATCAGGTTTGATATCCTTCTTATTGGTGTCAACTGCAGGGCCAATAGAGGCCGTAGGTTGGTTGCCAAACTTGACCTGCTCTCCAGTGATGGTACTGTGAGTGAAATGCTGAGGTAACGCATTTTGAGCAGCCGTTTTCTCTTTGCGAGCTTGTTCAGCAGCGATATCCGCAGCTGTAGGTCCTTCTCCGTTCGTCAAAGTAACTGAGATGGACGTCGGTCCAGTATTATCCAGACCACGAACAGCAGTTGGTCGCTCCGAAGAGAGAGCGACGGGTGCAGTTTGACTGCCAGGATTAGCTTCATCTCGAACCACTTTACGAGCCGTTGAGAGAGCTTGTTCGAAGGTGTTTGCAGGGATGACCACCTTATCGATTTTTGGGAGTAAGTCGGTGATGAATTTAAACTGTGCATTAAGTTTCGATGACTGTTCATGTCCACCACGGTTATTGTCAGGGTCGTGTACCAGAAGGTAATCGCATTTGTGACATAAAAAGCCTTCATAATTTCTCTTGTCCAAAACCTCGAAGGTTGTCCATTCTGATTTGCATCGAGGGCAAAAGTATTCCTTTCTCTCATCATCTGGCACAGTATTTCCTTGAACAGCCTTGTCTATTTGGTAGACTCTCCATTTAATCGCATCGATTGTTGCGCGATAATCGATAAAATAGTAGGTTCGATTAATTGGTCGTTGTTGGCCTTCTTTGATCTCTGGGCGGGAATGCCTACACAATCCAATTAGCAAAAGCCAAAATGCAGAATAAACTATCTGCCATACACTGCAAGAAATCGATCCTCCTTCAACTTTCCACAAAGCTTGTGAAGCTCCTTCGTATTTATGCTCATCAGGTATGCTAAATCATCGTCGCGCAAGCTAAGAAATGTCAGCTTTCCTTTCCCAAACTCCCAGAAAGTCTCACAGAAATACATACGCGGAGTGAATGACGAGCGCATCAATCACAAGGATATGTTTTGTGTCATAGAACGAGCGCATACAAGAGCGCACCAACATCTGGGCGAGATCCATATTTGCGAATGGATAATCAAGAAATTGGGAATAGAAGATGAGATCTAGGTCTGGTATTTGGGAAAGAGGGGATGCGGGGCCCTGAGGGTCTGTGAGTTTCTCAAAAAGAGGTAGAATATGTTTTTGAAAGATGGGTTTTGTAAAGTCGTTAGAGATAGAATCGAAAAAAAGACAAAGAGATATTTTAATAAATGGTGTCCAGGCTGCGCATTATCGGTTTGTATCCTCAAGACAATAAAGTAGAAGACATGAACAGGATGAGACAAATCCTCTATTAGTGTCTGTTGAGTGTGGGTGGTATGGTCGTTGTATTGTAAGTATTGTTCACGATGGCAGGGAGTTGATAGAATAAAAATTTGATATGGTTGATATTTGCAGGAGATAAAGTGAATGGATGGATTTTGATGACTTCAATTGGCAAGGCTGAATGAGATGAGGTAGAGCTGCAGTAGTGGATTTTTTAATTATGTAAGCCACCACTTAACCATATCAAGTTACAGGGCACGTGCGGGGCTAGTTGTTTTTAGTTCACAATTATTGGCTGAAGCTCGGACCAGGATACTAAAAATTATTGGGAGAAATATTCATGGACCATGTTGAATTTCTGATTCATCAGGTTGTTTTGTTTTCAACTCCACGCATGTGATATATGCGCATCCTTCGATTATTGAAAAATACGTTCGCATACATCTCCGAAATTCGAATAACTACATCAATCATGGAGGCGAACGCACAATCCGGAGGTCAACGAGGTGGAGGAGGACGAGGGCGGGGGCGGGGAGGTTTTGGCAGAGGCGGCAGAGGGAATTCTAGAGGTGGTTCCAGAGGTGGTAGAAAGCCAGAGATGGGTCGCAAGGAGTATCAGTTAGTCGGGATTCCTAAACTTTCAATTCATTCTCTCTAACTTTATTTAGTCGACAAGAACCAAAGAGAGATCGAAACGACGACGACCAAGCATCGAAACGCAGAAAGACGGTACACAATGGAGAATCAGAGCCAACAGCATTTAGTACGGAGTTCACTAAGGAGGAAATCGAAAGTGAAGTACGAAAACCAAAACATAAAGTCGCCGTCATGATTGGCTATGCAGGAACAGGATACAAAGGCTTGCAAATTAACACCAAGGAGAAGACGATTGAAGGTGATATGTTCAAGGCTTTTGTTGCCGCCGGTGCGATTTCGAAAGCCAATGCAAATGATCCCAAAAAGTCCGCCTTGATTCGATGCGCGCGAACTGATAAAGGCGTCCATGCAGCTGGCAACGTTCTCTCCTTGAAACTCATCATCGAAGACCCGAAAGTTGTTGAAAACATCAATTCCCATTTACCAGATCAAATTCGAGTCTGGGGTATCGAAAGAACTACTGGATCCTTCAATTGCTACCAAATGTGCGACTCGCGGTGGTACGAATACTTAATCCCAACCTACTCCTTCATCCCACCTCATCCTAAGAGTTTTCTTGGAAAGGAGTTGCTTCAGGCCGCTGAGAAAGAGGGCGTTTTGGAGAACTATAATAAACTTCAAGAAGATGCTACATCGTTTTGGACCGACGCCGAGAAGGAATTTGTACAACCCATTCTGGATAATTTGGACCCCCAATTAGCAGCGGATGTTATGGAAGCTATTCATGCTGCTGAGGAATCCAACGAGCCAATCGGAAAGAACATCAAAAAGAATAGAGCAGAAGCCAAGGAGTACTCTGAAATCAAGGAAGAAGTCAATGAACAGACTCAAGAAGAACCTGCAACAAAGACTGAAGCGGAAACTGGTGACGGATCAGTACTTAAAGAGCCCGTAGCAGTTGAAGTTACAGGAGAGACGAAGACAGAAGACTCAGAAGCCATGCAAGGCGTCGAAACCACTGAAGAACCAAAAACAAAGGATGGAGCTAATCATGATGAAGAAGTTAAGCTAGAAGCAGATGATGCTCAAGAAATTTCGAAATCAATTCTCACACCACTGGAGAAAGCTGTCAAAGAAGTAAAAGCAGCCTACATCAAAGCCAAGAAGGCATATCGCATACACGAATCTCGTAGAGAACGAGTACAAGAAGCTCTCAACCAATATGTCGGCACTCATAATTATCACAACTATACCATCCTCAAAAGCTTTAAAGATGCCTCTTCTAAAAGACACATCAAATCTTTCAAGATTGGAGCCCAACCTATCATCATTCATGATACAGAATGGCTTTCACTAAAAGTTCATGGTCAATCATTCATGATGCATCAAATTCGAAAAATGGTAGCCATGGCAGCATTAGTGGTACGATGCGCTTCACCAATGGAGCTCATCAAGGAAACTTATACTGCTGCTAAAATTAGTATACCAAAAGCCCCAAGTCTGGGTTTACTGTTAGAAGCCCCAGTTTTCCACAATTATAATGAGAAAATTGCGAAGGATTTTGACAGGGAGAAGATAGACTTTGAGAAGTATAGAGAGAAAATGGATGAGTTTAAGCAGAGAGAGATCTATGATAGAATTTTCAGAGTGGAGAATGCTGAAAATCAGTAAGTCTATCATGATATCCTTCAAAATGTGAAGAGCAAACTAACAAAATCATAGATTTCATACATTCTTCCATCATTTAGATCATCATCGAAGCGATTACTTCTTATGGCTGACAGCGTCAGGCATTTCTGCTGGAAGACAGCGTGGTGCAGGAAAGGATCTCCTAGATGCTAGTGATGATGAGGCTGATGTCAATGGTGAGGAAGGTTGATTGCTATTTGGTTTGGGAGAGATGGGTGGAAATTGCAGAGGATACCTCTTAACATTACAAAAGCTCCAGATATTGGACGCAGATCTCAATACTAACCGCGTGGTGCGAATTGTACAACAGGAAGACAGAACAAAAGAATGCTAGCTAGTCTAATGCTAGCTTGTCTGCAGAGTCTGGAATTGTCAATAGATCACAATACAGTACAAAAAGCAAGTTTGACTTGCTCTTACACATGAAGGACTCTCGGTTCATTTCATTTCCTTTCTTGATTTATATCTTTACATCGTCTATTTCTCATTCATAATGTTGCTCTGTCCCATGTATCTTCCTCTCAGAATCGCTCCAATGACCCAATCCTCAATCGGCTCAAAATCACGCTCTGAACATGATCTGTCAAATATTGCCAAACCCATCTAAAATCCGTCGTTCTCTCACATTTATCCATTGCAACTGGCCTTCCTCGTCAAATCAATAATAACCTCTCCATCTCGCCCCTTTACTTTGTAATATCGGAGTTCTACCACCATCCCATCCATCCTATATCAAAACACGAACAACGAAGTCCCGTATCAATCTCCATGAAGACGTGCAGTCTATTTCCCTAGATAATCCTGCAATTTCCATACATCATATCGTATTATCTCCTCTCATACGTATCCACATCGACTGTCTGTCTCAAGTCCTCCTAATAAACAGCTGTTCGAATTGATCCTTACACTGAATCATCCATACACAAAATTAGTATTCATTCCTTTAGTTCCAGAAACACATCCCTATACCCAAGTCTCCCATTCAAATGGCGATCTCACACAAAACCGAAATCAAAATAGCAGAAGAGAAAAGAAGAGAAAAACTCACATTCCTCCCACACCAAACCCTCCTCGGTAACTTCACAACCCGTCTCATCACCACATATTCCCCCTCTCTATCCTCTTCCCTCTCCACATTCATCTCCGACACATGTCCCTTTCCCATAAGTTCAATTTCCATCCCGTCAAAATTATGATTCTGATTCACACTCAGACTCCCACCCGCGTTTCCATTCGCATCCATCTCCGCATACGCAAACCGACTCGTCGACCTCCTTTTCGTCGGAAAATCTCTAATCTTCTCCTGGGGATTCAAAACCCTACTTGCTTTCTTGCGCAGTTTCTTAGGAGCCGCTTTCTTCTCCTTCGCAACGGGAGAAGCAAGCGGGGAAATCTTCGGATGTTCTTTCGTTTCCTTGAGCACGGGATCGTATACCAGAAAATGCACCACGATTTTTCGTACCCCGCGCGGTATAACCATGATTTGCATGCGTGTGCCTTCGAGGAGCGGAGGATTGTTTTCGGGGGTTTCGATAAAGCCCTTGCGTAGGATTTGAGGGGGGAGGAGTGTGCTACGCGGGAGGTAGTGGAAGGATGGGGGAGAGAGGGTGTAGAGGACTTCGAGGGGGTCGAGGGGATTGTTTTTGTAGGTGTGGTTGTGGTTGTATTGGTCATTGAGGGGTGGGAAACGCTGGGTGGAGAAACGGTTGGAGGGCGTGGTGGCGAGTTGGGGAAGTGGAGAGGGAGAGGTGAGGTGGAGGGAGAGGGATAGTTTGATGAGGAGAGTGTGGAGGTTTGTGTGTAGTGTTACGAGATTGGAATGGGCGGAGGCGTTGGCTGCCATTTTGCAGTTGGAGTTTTGTGGAGTGTATCTGTGCTGTAGATGTGACATTAACGGAGTCTGTAAGATTTTGGATAGATCGTTGGGTCTGGTCCGTTTGATGTGAAAACTCGCAATTAGAGCCACTTGCTCTGCAATATCGATGCTGAAAATAAAGTAGGTAGGTGGATTTGTTTGCGTTATTCGTTGTTTGCTCCGTACAAGTGACTTGAAATACTGGAGATTGACTCCTTTTGGGATAATCGATCAAGGCTTTTGGGCATGTAGATAGGACTGTTTTGAAAATCGAGCTCTGCTCAATTTATATTGGAAATAAAAGAAACCCGAGAAAAATTACCAGCAGATTTCCGAAAGGTGAATGAAATCACAAGCAAAAGAATCGGAAGATTTTCGCCGTAGAATTCTGAGAACCTCAAGATGATCACTTCATCTAGAAAATTTGTTTATCTATCGTATCTGATTTCCTATAACAGTGGTGAACTTTCAAGGTTGAGTCAAAATGGATTATACTAAATCCACATGTACCGATTTATTCACTCCATTTCGGTTGTGCTTTATACACCAGTGACAACCAAACACGCACGTTATTTCTGATTCACTCTTCTCTCCTCATCTTCATCTAATGGTTCTCCCATAACTCCAAATATTCAACCCTACTTTCGAGCCCTTTTCTACTGGTAGACCAGCATGCCATGTTTCCTCATATCCCCTTCCGTTCCTATCAGTATTTTCCCAGAATACGGCATTTCCCTTGATGGGTTTGAATATCACTCCTTCTACTGTTACATTTTTACCACTTCTTGGATCTAACGCTTCGGTAGCATCGAGGAATTCCTCCCACCTTCCTCCTTTGAGTCCCACGATACGTGGGAATTCTGTTCCTCCACCTTCGATATCAGAGGATACATCGACGTAGACCATAAAAGTACTTATCCGGTCTATGCCGCGTTTACCTCCGCTCCAATCGCTATTTCTATCATTAGCCTTCGCGTACACAATACCTCTTCAGAAAGCTCCATGTTGATAGAAAAGAAAACGAAGCCTTCACTAGTCCCCCAAAACTTACAAATGCATCCCATAATGACCCCCAACCCCATACCTCTGCGTCCTCAACTTCTCAATGCCCATCTCACCTCTCCATCCCTGAAACGCCCTCGCTCTATGCTCAATACATCTAACCACCTCATCTCTCTCTAGCACTGCTACTTCAGAATCCCGCACCGAAGTATCAATCGTAACTTCCTGACCATGAGAAACCGTAGACGGTTTATAGAGCGGTTCACTATCCCATCAGTTTCTCTTCATTTCATCAGAAAAAATATAAAAACATACCTAACATCCACCAAATGTTTACTCTCATTCGCCTTCAAAAATCCCTCGATGTATATCATAAGTGGTTCACGGCTAATAATGAATGTTTTATAACTATCTTCCGGACAAAATAGGGGTTCATCACTTGCGATGAGTGAAGAGTTTAAATTGAGAGGTTCATGAAGAGCAGATTGACGACCGTAGATGATTTGAGACAGAGGTCCCCATACTAGCACGTAAAGAGGGATCAGTGCGAAAGCGTAGAGAAGCATGGTGATGAAATGTGATGTTTGGATACACACATGTCGGATTTGGCGGGAGAAGGAAAAGGAGGTGAGGTTTGGGAATTTGTGGAGATGATCACGTGCAGGGTACGTAATATTTGGGAGCTGAAGATGAACAACGACAGTCGCCATTCATTGGTATTTTTATTGCCTTTGCATCTTCATTTGCTTGTGTTGTTGAATCTGATTCATCAGGTAAGAAGAAGAGTTATGGGATTAGGAACAGGTAGCACTGAAAGTAACGACAAATAACCTCAAGAAAGTTCTTGAAGCGATCTGTCATCCAGGACCCAGTACTAGTCAAGGCCTAGCTATAGACAACACAAGAAAATCATTGTGATTCTTAAAAGAAGCTTCAGATATATAAGAAAGAGTTCAATCATTCAAGCAACCAGCCATCCTAGAAGAACAATGTTCTTTCAAAAGTTGAAAGCTTGATTAGTCTACTAGTCCCGCTTCTTGATATTATCACATCATCATATAGACTAGAAACTATAGCTTCAATTCTAGTCTCCAACTTCCAACCTGCGAAATCACAGTATCTTTTTGATTCGAAGCCCATTTTTCATCCTACATTCTTCAAGTGTCCTCTCTTGAGCTTCATAGGTGCTGCGATATTACTCTTATCATATACATACAACATAATCATCGCTGGAACACCTCAACCCCCACCGCATCATTCTTGCAAGTACTCAACTTTAAGTTGAAGCTAATATCAGAACCATGGCCAACTTCGCTTGAAATGGCTCATCGGTATTTACTAGAGAAACATAGTGAGATCATCTGATCAAACTACCACTAGCCAATACCCTAAGCCCACACAACCACTCATTTAAATTGAATTCTCCAGACCTTTTCAATTCTCCGAATCTTCATCCATTTCATCAAGTTCCGTCACCATTCAATCTCCTGTCAATCTCCCAATCCCATACTATCTACCACAAGCCCACAACTTCCTAAGCCGTACAACCACACACACACACACTCATCCATCCATCCATCCATCCATCCATCCATCCATCAAACATGGCGTTCTCCCCCCTTAGCATCTTCGCCATCACATTCTCAAGCTTTCTTCTCGGCGCTTTCCTATCCTACTTAATCTGCGATTTGAAAGAGGATATACACCGGAACAATTACATATGTCAACGGCACAACGACAACATTGAATACGTCTGCGATCTGAGACGGGCATTTTATTGGTCCCGCCATGCTCTTTGGAAGCATGAATCTTGGGCCAGAGCAGGAGAACAAAGCAGGAAATGGTTGATATATGAGATTATGAATGTGAATCTGCAGGCAACCATCACGGAAAAGACGACTATGCCGAGTGATTGCTGTAGAGATAGGATGGCGCGGGTATGGTGGGAAGATCTCGAGAGTCAGGGTAGTGAGTATAGAAAGAGGGTAGAGGCGGGAGAAGATCCGTTTCAAGTTATGCAAGATCTGGATCCTGCAACTTGGAAACTATTTTAAGGCTTAGGCAATTACAAAGGGGAGCGGATACGAGAGAGCAGATGGTGAAGCTGTGCGTGAAGAGGATGAAGTAAGATACTACTAGCATCCTTTTTATGGTCCTTGAACGGAAAACTCGAAGCATGCATGGCCTAATCAATCAGACTGCAGTCGTGGCATCGAACTGCAAATTTTAATTACTTATCATGCTGTCGGGATATCGATCATGTGATCGTAGAGGGCACCGTTTTAGCTAGCGCTTCCTTATATAAAGTACTAACTTTCCATAGATAATAATGATCAAGAACGAATACAACCATAATAGACGAAAATAGGTACTTTACACTTATCAACCAAGTTGATACCAACACATGCTCATTTACCACACATAATTATTCCTCGTTTCCTACATACAACATCACCGGCTAACAAAAAAAAATCATCTACAAAGTTAGCATATCAAGCTCACAGGGTTTGGAACTCATGAGTTATAATCAGCAAATTTTCATTTCATTTCATCCTATCTCATCTCATCTTATCCCATATCATCTTATCCCATCTCATCTCATTCCATCTCATTCCATTCCATTTACTTCTTGAGTGCTAGAAATAGGTACGTCAGAAGTGTATAGATTTACTCTTTTGGAAGTTGTGTATAAATACCCGCGTAAATGGTGGCGCAGGCAGCCATCAAACCAACATAAAAAGCAATTATTATATGCCTATCCGGTTTACTATATATACTTAGTTTACAAATCTGGTTATAGGAGAATCAAACATACTTCTGATCAAAAAATATCCCATGGATCCAACCAAAAAGAAGACCAAAAGGAATCCAAAAAACCCTCAAAAGGGGAAGGACGAATCGTACCAAAAATGGGGCCAGCACGCGCCAGCCGCGGCGGGACCATAAAATCATGACGCCCATGGCCAGACCAACGACCGGTGCTCTTCGGATTACTCCCGGAATCACGGGGGTGAGGCGGAATCCCAGGCGCGCGGCGCAGGGAAACAGCTCTGAACTGTCTAAAACAGGACTGATATAGCTATGGCGAGCAGGAAGCCGGGAGCAGGAGCAGGGGAAGAAGTATTCGAGGGGGAAATAGCGGTAATTGATGGAAAGAAGACCGGAGAGAAGGTTGTAGGATTGGAGCCAAGACAGCGACGTTAAGTCACTCTCGACTTCCAAGCACCTAGTTCATACCATTCTTGCAAAGAGAGGGACAGGACGTCCAGCCCAGAGTGCAGCAGCCATAGCGCTTTTAGACCGAGGACAGAAGATGCTGTGCGCGAAGCAAGAGAACAGAAGGAGTGTCCTGGACGGCGGAGCTCCCACCTCCTTCTCCCAATATCAGCACATGTGTGATTTGCACTCCAGTGCATCCATACAAGTTCCTAAATTCCTTCCAAAGTCTCAAAAAAGGGTTCAGGATCAGATCGATAACTGAGTTGTTTATCCAATGAGCTGCTCTTCCTTCGGCTTCTGTATCTGCGAGTTTGTGCTATATCAATTGTTGAAGTTGAAATTTCATCCCAAATCTTGAGATTGTTTTGAAGAATGAAAAAGTAGAAAAGTAGTAGATCACAAGAGATATTTCAGACCGTCGATCTTCTCAAGGCCACAGAACTCTGCTCAAAAATGAGAACCAATTGAGGAGGTGAATAAAGTGAAATGGTATAATTGAATAGACGGACGTTGAGAACTCACTTTTCCATCTTGGGTTCTCGCTATGCAAATTGACAAAAAAACAAAAACATACAACAGTGGGGATTCGCTGGTGGTCACCCACCCAACTACTAATCCACCGATCTGAAGCTTGTGTATGGCAGAGCGGACGGGATGCCCAATTCTCTTCAGTCTATGGTCGTATGTGTCAGTCGGTGCTTTTTTTGAGGATATATTTACTAAAAAATGAAAATATCAGTTTTGAGACTGATCTGATGAGTTGGTGATACTGACGAGAATGCTTGTGAAGATTGAGTGTATTGTTGTTGATGTTGTTGATGCTGTTGATGCTGTTGATGCTGTTGATGCTGTTGATACCATTAATATCCTCAATCTCCTCAATCTCATCAACACCATAGAAATCAACAAACCTATCAAAAGAAAGACCAAACAAAACAAAACAAAACAAAAGAAAAGAAACAATCCCCAAACTATCGAACACAACATCCTAGAAACACCATCTCGCACACAAGCAACAACATTCTTTCCCACGAACCATCTTCAGAAAGCCATACCCAGTATGTTGATCGACCTTAAGTGAGTCGCTCAAATAATGAAAACGTTTGGAACATTGGATGAATCTCGATTATCGAAATTGCTCTGAAGATTGAAAGTATCATGATTGTTGAATCAGATTTGACAATTGAAGGGTGTTCCATTGACGAACACTCTTGAGACAATCGCAGGACTAGGTAACTTTAAACATGTGATTTCCATTCAAGCTACCTGCTCCTTCCATTTTACCATACTCGTTTGTTCGTAACTTCCTAAATCATCTTTTAATTCTCTCCTAAGAATTCCAATACCAAGGTGTTAAACTTATCCGGGTCCTCCCAATAGCACCAATGACCGCCCCAATCAACCACTACACCTCGTGCCTTCCCTTTTTTAATCTCTCCATCAGTTTCCACTCCACCATTTACAAACTCCGCAATCTTCATGACTCCTTCTGCAGGAAAACATCCGCTCCTACTACTACCCACAACTAAAACCTCCGTCTCACTTCCGCTTTCCGGTCCGAAACAAGCACGAATACTATCTCTCCAATCTTTCGATGTATGATCCTCCATAAGTTTCCCCAACCATCTTCCATTTCCCTTAAGCGCCTCTCCTAAGAAAAAAGCCTCATCACCATCCATTTCCTCCTGGGTCCTAACTCCTTTCTCCGATTCAATCGGTGCATATCGATATCCCAAACAAGCAGCAATAGTTCCACGATGCGCAATTTCCGGCGCCAACTCCAACGTTTTCTGAAGCGAAGCAATCGCCCACGGATTATTCATACCGCGGTTGCAAAATCGACTATCCCAGCCATCCAAGGTAGAATTTTGCAGCGGGCTCTGATCCACAAAGATCATTTTCCTGAACAACCCCGTTCCAAAAAGTTCAGCATAACTCCACAAGATGGCACATCCGAGACTACCACCAATCGCAAGAAACTTTTTGTCTCCCCGAGTGTCCTTTTGGCCGAGAGCCGATGAATCAATAACATGCTGCGTGAGTTCATGCAAATCCATCGCGAGACGACTAACATGATATCCATGTTTTGGTTTCTGGCTGGCTCCATGACCTCTCAGATCCGGTACAATAACACGGTATGTTTTGCGCAAGGCAAGTATATTCTTTTGCCAAACATCTTTGGAACCAGTAAAGCCGTGCAACTGTGTGATTTGTTAGCTAATTACATGAGTAATTACCGACAAGAGCCCAGACTGTCACTCACAAGAATCAAACACTCCAATCCTCCCTCATTCAGAATATCCGTATCGCTATACGCAATAGCCACACCATCATTCGTTATAAATTCCGACGTCATTTTTACACCTCTCCCTTTCTCTTTTCAATCCCAATCCCAATCCCAATCTCTCTCAAACAAACCCCCAACCCTCAAAGCACTCAGCACTCAGCACTCAACCCACTTCTACAAATCACAACACAACACAACCCAACCCAAATTTATCAAAAACACCACAATTCACTTCACTTCACTTTGATATCTTCTCGTCGAATCAATATGCGTCGTCTCGTCGATTGAAAATTTCAAATTCAAGACGAAAACTTGTCAAGGTACCTACGATACACCTATCGTAGAAATATAAAAATATAAATGTAAATATAAACCCCACTATCTCGGTTACATATTTCTGCACGTGCTGGGTTGGCGTTGGTGAAATATCACGTGATAGATTGTTGGGAAAGGGAGAATACCTACCTACCTACGGAGGTCGCGATCATTTTGGAAGAGATTATAGACTCTTCCAGGGTATATACACTGTAAGACTCTATAATTCGTCGGATTTGATCGGGATCTATAAAATCTGATCTCCGCTCTACCCGAATAGGCTAATAATGCCTATATTCTAGGCTCAATTGAACTCTAGATCAACCCAAAACTATAATGCCTAAAGCTTATAGGCTTGTCGAGCCTGATACAGACTTAAAATTATCTAAACACAAACCCTATAGTACCCAATTAGTGTGCTTGATTATAGGCATCTACAGGGCTACCTAGTCTCTTCCAAAATGACCGCGACCTCCGTAGGTACCTCTATATAAGCGAAAAAACAGGCGGAAATTGAGTACTCTTTTAAAGGACTTTTTTAATAGATTATAAATTCATTTTAAATTAAATATTGAAATTTGAAAAAAGCAAATAAAAATTTAAATCTTTATTATATTAAAATTAAATGTTTTTATTACTTGTCGGCTAATCATCCTTATAGTTAACTACTCTAGGTGGTTGATAGTATTAACTTCGACATACAGCAACTCCGATACGCTCGATTTTTTCAATAAATAATATTAATTCGATTAAACATTATATAATAATAAATTTTATATAGAATTATAGCCCTTGATTGCCTCAATATAGTTACTAGATTTTCTTTTTATTATATTGTTTCTAATTGTGAAATTTCTGAGGGTCGAATATTGAGGTTATAATATTAACCTCAGATTCAAAGTTCATATAACACTAATATTGGAATGATTATGTAAGCATACACTTTTCTCAACTAATAAGATTAATTAAGTTATTCGAAATACTAACCTCAATAGAACAATTGAACAACAATATCTAAAATAATAAACTTTAATAGATATTAAAGAGGCAATCAAGGGCTACAACCCTATATAAAATTTATTATTATATAGTTTTTGATTGAATTGATATTAATTTTTGAAAAAATCGAGCGTGTCGGAGTTGCTACATGTCGGAGTTGGTGCTATCAACCACCTAGGGGTGGTTGGTAGAATTTTTCTAATAGCCGACAAGTATTTAATATTATATCAAAAAGAGATCTTAATTATTAAAGGTCTTTTGAATAATAATCAATTCCCGCCTGTTTTTTTGCTTACGTAGAGCCTACCTACCTACCTACCTACATACCTGAATGAATGAATGAATGAATGAATAAATCATATTAGATTACCTATACACGCAGGACGAAACAGCCCGAAGAGCCATAAAACCGTACAAGATTCAAGATTCGAGATTCAAGATCCGAAAGATGCGATGCGATGCCTGCCATACGATCGATGCGTCAAAATTCCCATAAAAATACAAACCAAGTCTCAATAAATAATAAATCACAATCCCCAGATATCACTGCACGAAATGGAATCAAATTCAGATATTAAAATGATGTGTTAGAGATGTGTATGTAGGTATATATAGGTATTTTAAACTAAAAGCGATGTAAAGCCATTGCAGACTCTCATCTCATCCCAAGTATTTACCCATCCATTTCATTCCATTTCATTCCAATCCATCCTATCCCATCCCATCCTTTTCTGATACCCATAATGCATTATGCATGTAAATTGCCCTTCCCATTTTTTAGATTCCATGATTAACTCCGTCACAAATTTCCTTGCTAGCCATCTATGATGCTCGCGCGTGCGTATGTATGCCGAATGCCCATACCCATTCCAATATTCCTATTTCTTCATAATCCTATATCTACAACGATAATGTAATGCTCGCAATGCTTGGAGATTCAAATATCTATAACAAACTCAAATAATGCATAATATGTGCTCTTTTCGAGCGTTGCTTCTTTTTCTTTCATCTTTGTTTAAACACCAGGTGTAAATGGTGTAACCAGATCGATACTTCTAGGTCGATGTCCGTAACCACCTGGACCACTTCGAGGTGGCAAGGGACGATCCATACCCATACCCATACCCCCGGTGCTAGTAAATGTTTGGCCAGCTCCGAAAGCATACAAGTCTTCTCGGCTTCGACGAGCGGAATAACTGCTGCCGGTGTTGGAGTATGAGTTTCCGGGTGTGGCAAGGGGTGTAGGTGTTGTGGTTTTGGTTGTGAATGGCATGTAGTTCCAGACTTGCGAAGATGTCCTCGAGAGTGTAGTAGTCGGTGGAGATTCTGGTTCCTGGGGTTGATGTGTTCGCGGTAGCGCTGTGGCTAACTCTCTCAAGCTTTCCAAGGCACTCGATGAATGTGTATCGGCCTGGGATGAAGTATAGAAGTGCGATGCTGGGAGGGATGAGGAGGGTACGTGGTATGCGACGGAGAAATCGGTTGGATATGGCGATGAGTTGAAGTATGATCGAGGTCTAGATTGTGTAGGAGAGAGTCGTGGTACAATATCTCGAGGTTCTTCTGGGGAGTATACAGCTGCACTTGACAAGAATGGAGTCAATGGTGGAGAGTTTGGTGCAGTTGCATATGGGTTTGATCGAGAAGTGTATGTTGGTGCTTGATCATGAACACGACATCTATTAATCTTGTTAGTGACTTTTTCCATGTAAATTGTGGACATTAGATGATACTCACTGTTCAGAGCAATACAGAAAGGTATTGTTGGGTGGTGTAAATTGCTTTTCGCAAGTCATACTGTAACAAATCGTCAGTCTCGGTTCAGCCACCATTATGCACCCCGCCTTTTCCCAATCCTAGGCGTCGTCATCATCTGACAATCGAGTTGAACTTACCAGAACTGTGGAAAGCTCTCCCCGTTATCTTTCTCCACGTATTGACTTTCCCTCTCCTTACTTCTGGCAGCCTTGGTAATAACTTGCGGTGTAGTCCTTCTGTGTAAAGTTGTAGGTCGACTAGTTCTCTTTTCCGCCACTACCGCAAGTTCCTTTCCGGACTTTCTACGTACGTGGTTGGTCTTCTTCTCAGTGTTCTTTTCGGAGCTTGTTCTTGGAGATAGAGCAAGAGAAGGAGCCGTGTGTGTTCGGGTAACGGATGGTCTTGTTGAGTGTGCCATTTTGGCAGTTGGGAAGATGTATTCTTCCTTTGATATCCTATGAATCTCAAGGATTGTCTCGATATGTCCAGAGAGAGGAAAGTCGTAGAAGATGCTTGATGTTAATTGTTGGTTGTACGTGAATGTGAAATATATCTTGGTATCTTATATGTCGTAGATAAGTTCTCAGGATGGATTCTTCCCCGGTTGATCTCGGTCTTGTGAATGTTTCTCGTGATGGTGAATTAGAACGGTCAGAAACAAAACAAAATGGAGTGAAATCAAATCAAGGATTGGATTTCTTTTTATTTAATCTCGATTGGCGATTAAAAAGATTCTTGAGATGTGACTCTATGAATGATCTTTTTAATGTAATAGTGGGTTGGACTAGGGAGGCTCGAGGTGGGTAGATAGATACTAGATGCCCGATGCTAGACTCTAGGCAATAAATACTAGATGCTAGCTAGGCAGATAAAACTAGTACTAGGGATCTATTGTGAATCCGTGCTGATAAGAGATTAATATTTCTACCGATATGGCTCCCGTAGGAAATTAATTGGCGAAATCGGAAGAGTGGGATGGAAGGGATGGAAGGGATGGAAGTGAGCGAAATGTTGCGATCCGGAAATGGAATTTGGAGCACAGGAAAGTTCGGTCCAATAATAAGATGTGTGAGTGCGTTGATGTGATTTGTTATGTTGGGCGAGATGAATTGACCAATATCTTAACAATGTGTTTGTTGTGCGGGATAAATGCTGGCGGGGAAAAGGGGATGGATTGATGTGATTTATCAATTCCTTAAGGTTATATTCCGACCAGAAAGTTCAATGTTTGTTCGGGAGCCGGAAAGACGATAGCGAAACATAAAGTGAAAGAGGACTTTATGAAATCGAAGACGGAGAGGGAGAGGGGGGTATTGTATATTAGAATTCGAGGGAAAATTTAATAATAATAATAATAATAATAATAATTGAAGATTATAATTTATTATCGTCAAAAAGATATTGCGTGCTTCGTTCGAATGGTCTCTTTGGCTGGGACGGAGTATCCTCCCCTCCCTCGTAAACGCTGACCACCCAATAGGATTGTTGGTTTGACTAGTGTGAATGGCTTGTGGGCGACCCTGGAAAGGATTATATTGGCTGGTCTGTTGGGAAAAGCGAGGGAAGATCTTATCGATTAACTGAAGCGGGAAGTATTCATTGATGGTGGATGATCTATTTGCGGAGGGATTGTACCTCGTACGCTTCGAGTAGTAAGTTTCTAGTAACCTGGAAGTCTTGGATGATCTTTGAGATCTCTTTGTTGAACCTTGGGACGGTGGGAACTGGTCTCGGTAGTCAAAGGAAAAGAAAAAAGGAGAAATGTCAAAGGGATTGAGTGAGGAGAAAAGGAATCATCGGAAGACGAAATTGAAATTATATTACCAGTCTCTTCGTAGGTGTGGTCAAGGTAACACGGGAACTTTGGCATTAGGAGATATTCTTCATCATGGTCATGGTCTAACAATAGTACGGGATGCTATGCACAGTATGGTTTAGGTTACAATATGATATGGTCCAGAAAAATGGATTTTATTTAATGGACATGATTATCATTGGATCAGTCATACCCCTAAAGGCTTTAGCACTAAGCTAATTCTGTATCATATATGCCTCTTTAGGCTAGCACCTTCCTCTGGTCCCGTCAAGGTATGATTGATATTTGCACATTTGTTGAGATGGCATCGATGGTATCGATGGTATGGTCTCGCAATCGGTGATGACTTGAGATGTCTGATGGTAATAATAACTGTGTTGGCTTGCTTGATGCGTGATGCTTTGTACTGCTCTAACTTTCCATGCCCTGCTCTGCCCTTTGCATCTCTATCCACAACGCGTACGCACCAACGTTGGGTCTTGAATCCTACTCCCTTTTAGAGTTTTGTAAGGGTACGCTGCCCTCCCTTCTTGACTCCGTAGACAAGTCTGGCTCTCCTTGACCGCTAAAGTGCAACGGAAGGCGTGGACCGTGATTACTCTAGTCTGCCCTTCCGGAGGAACCGCTTAAGGTTGTCAACGTAGAACTGTGGGATTCCGTGATGCCTGTGTTTGAGAATATGTACGATTTGTACAGTGGATGTAGGTTGATGTAGGTTGATGCTGTAACTTTCCATGCAAATTGTCTTTTTCAACGTTGGAATGATACCATTTCGCTGTTGAATGGTGTGGTATTGGAGATTAGATAAAGGGCATTGTGTATCAAGTACCTAGGTCGGTCGGTCTCTAGATTAGTCTTCGCTTCTATCAAGTATGTTTTCAAGTATATTTATTATATTGCATTACATTATTATATCAACTCTTCCCTGAATTGCATCATCAGGGTTTCGTTTCTTTCCTTTTCTTTTCTTTAGCACTCTTCACTCTCAAAGCCTCAATTCATCCCACAAGATCAATCAACCATCTTGGCATCGTCGGGGTCGTCACTAGCTAGTGAACGTATTCATTTTGATCAGTTCTGGCCTTTTTTTGGTTCTTTGGCCCTTTGTAAATCATTACAACACATCACAGCGGAGCTATAATAAGAATCATAAGTATTCGTATACCCAGATGCACATGCTAAATGCCTGCGACGCTTTTTTCACAATTGAATTTTCGCGTTGCTATTTGTGAGTAATGTTTTCCCACTGTTCCATAAATGTGTCCGTTCACTAAGATCTGACTGGATAATCTTATAGATTTGGAGTCAGATTCTAGAATATCTCGTACCCGCTTTGTGATCCATCAAGACAGTGACCCCCACTTGATGGAACTCTCGGATTTCCTAAATTGAGATCGCGGATTGTCCAAAAGTCCAAGAGTCCAAGACTTCAAGGAGAGATAATCAATCGCTCCACTCAAAATGAAGGGACGGGGGTGGTTCCCCACTCCCTCAAGTCCCTTTGCAACACCACGAGTGGTGGTCCATGACAGACAGATCCAACCAAATGCTTTCCATCTGTCGGCCTCGACCGTTTGAACCCTTCCCTTCGAACCCTTCGAACCCTTCCTACCCAACCCTTTCTCGATTTTTTGATACCAATAGAGTCAACGGATCTCTTCCCTCGACAACTCATTCGTAACTTGAAGCGTGTCATACGCGCAGGTTTCTACGATGCACGATGTACAAAGTACAGATGTGAATCAAATGATGATGTAAACAGGAAATCTAAACGACCTCTCAAAGCTCGTGAACCGAGACACCCTGAGAGTTCCATTGTTTACCGCCACTGCATATGCAACACTGTCTTGATTGCATTTGAGACCACACCATGACCATACCATGACCATACCATGATACCATCATCTTGTCTCATACATCTCCACTTCCACCCTTTTAACTTTTGACATGCCTCTTCCGGTCACTTTATCCAAAAATTTGTGCTAGATGTGATTCCACCCCCCCTTCCGCCCAAGGTTCCCCTCAATCTGTTCCACCCACATTCATTCATGAATCAGACCAAGCAAAAGTCAAAGGTTAAAGCAACATGCAGGCACAACGATATGGCAAGCTGCAGCCACTTCCGTCATCCTTGGATCCTTGGCCGGTGCTTACAGAACCGTTGTACGCAGTGTTGTCGAACCATCTTCTTCATTTTGATCCTTCCACTTTGGTACCAAGATTTGCATAGCCGACTCATTCATTACCTCTACATCCATCGTAGACCCCCCCTCTACGTAAGCAAAAAAACAGACGGGAATTGACCACTATTCGAAAGATCTTTAACAATTAAAATCTCTTTTCGATATAATATTAAATAATAAAAATATTTAATTTTAATACAAAAAAGACTCAAATTTTCGTTTATTTTTTTCAAACTTCAATATTTAATTTAAAATAAATTTATAATTTATTAAAAAAGATCTTTGAAAGAGTACTCAATTTCCGCCTGTTTTTTCGCTTACGTAAAGCCCCCCCCATCCAAAAAGTATCCGAAATCTGTTATCGGATGTCGAGAATCTTACAACTTGCATTTACATTTGCATTTGCATGTGCAGCTACGAGCATTTTTTTTCTTCCATGGAAGCTTTCTCTTTTCTTCAACAAAACCCTCCACTTGAATTTGAGCCGTACCTCTCTGTCTCCGCATCAAATTTGTATCCATAAATCTCTCACGTTCCACGATATGGTCAAGGCATCGACGGTTACTTTCTCCATCTCCAACATTTCATGTCTCCATAATCTACACATTGAAGCCTAGGCATAATTCTAACTCTATTTCTAATTCTAGGCACAATTACTTATCAATTAGTCCACAGATATACGTGGGGGAGTCATTCACGAACTCACTCATGCCTTCTTAAACTAAATGACCGCAATTTATCCGGATAATGCATATTCAATTCTCATCCATCCTTTTTTTGTCTGACCGATTAGAAAAAAATCTCTCACAGCAAATCAAAATATGGCTGGCTGATCGCACATGTGTTTGGAGTGTGTTGCTCCAATTGGTTGTGGGATCCTTGTTTCAGAACTTTCATCGTGTCACTAATTGATCAAAGTTTCTCCTTTCATATGAATTTATGGAGTTTAATCTTTAGAATGGAGATTGTTCTGCCGATACTACACGATTCTGGACATTCTAGATCTTCATATCCTGACTAGGTCTTCACGCAAAATCTCTTTGGGAAAAGAATTTCGTCTTGCGAGTTACAACTTACGACAAACTTCCGTGGGCCGAAAGAGTGGATGGTGATAACCTTGTATTCATTTCATTAACTCGATCTTCGTTTTTCCCATAACAAATGCTAAACTTCAATTCTCTTTCGATCTTCAAAGTTGAAGCTCTTGTTGTGCAACACAGTCCCTGGTGAAACATACTACTCACCTGCATAAATGCACTCATCTTCGGAATCAAAGTATGCACTCAATATTGTGGTTCAGTTATCTGGGGCTGGCGTGAACAAGTGATCCCGCCATGATCTTCGTAATACATGCGTGTACAATACGGCAGTTTTCATATTGTGGAGAAAGCGGGAAGAAAAAAAGGAAAGGAAGAAAATCGGATGTACACAACGTTAAGGGTTGGCTGTTTGGCTTCTCGGCTTACTTCAAATTGTGGGGGTTGGATTGATCGATCCATAGGGCTGGATGAACAACTCAGCTCGTGAGTTTGTCTTACGTTACACAGATGACTGAGAAGTTTATTTGGCAGTTGCTTGGCCAGTATTCAGCTTCAATTGCCAAGTGAAAGAATAGATGAAGAAGATAAGGGATATCCCGATGTAGGTGGATGGCTGTTTGCTTAACGGGTGGAATTATTCTCAAATATGATGAGTTCTATTTGATAAGTGACGATGAGTTGGTTGTTCGGGTACGCGGGGATATCATTCACAACATATGCGGATGAATTGGTACCCCCATCCAACGATGCACGACATTTAGCAATGGCTCGTACAAGGATGGTGCAATTTCGAATTTCAAACGAAAGGATAGTCTTCCTGCAGCTCTAGTCGACCTGCTATTACTATTGACTTTTATCATATTACTCACCAAGCTCCACGCCCTTCGAATTATGAAATTTGAAAAGTTTGACTAGTACTTACTTCTCGTACTGTTTAACCATTATTCACAATGACGGAGCTTTCAAATCCCGCCACCTCGGATTCGTTTGAGATCCACCATGATTCAACAGCCAAACGCAATATCACATGCATTACGAAAGTACGGAGTACAGAATCCTCCGAATGGTGAGAATTCTATATATACCGGTTATCCACATCGAGACCCTCAATGATTCATCTGAACAATGACGAAACCAAGACAGTCCAGACCTCAAGATACTCCACAAGGCTGTGAGTTCCATTCGTCAATCTGTCGAGATGCCAGGTTTTCGGTAGTTAATTGGAAATTAGAGGTTGCAAGTATCACGTGTTTTAGTGTGTAGACTAGACACCTGGCCATTGTGGCACTGCAGGTTGAGATATATTAGAGGGGATATCCTGGGAGGAGGGGAGAAATATGAGGGATTAGCGTGCGCGGGAATAGGAATACGATGACTATGAGTATGATGCATGACGATGAGACAATGATCTGGGTGTTTGGTGTTTGATGGACGGATAGGCACGGTGTTTAGATGGCCAGAACGTGGTCTGTCTGTTTGGGTGGGAGAATGCTCAGTATCGAATTCGTTTCTTGTTGAAAAGCGGGGATGCTTGAAATTGGAATTGCTTCATTGTCATGTCAGAAATAGTATCGGGAGTTGCAGGTGGTTGCAGATTTTTTCTTTTTCTGAATACGCGAAAATAGACGATGGATGGTGGATGGTGGGAAGAAGTCGAATGGGAAGATTGAATTGAATGTAGGGATATAAATGAAGATGGATTCGAGTGATTCGTTGAAAATCGAAATGTTAAATCGATTTAGATAGACAGGTAGGTAGGTAGGTAGACAGGTAGGTCATGATATATCTTTTCGTATATCGTATATACGTGGAAATCGATTAGATCTAGTGATTGTAATTATAATTGTACATATTGGATTTGTATTGTTATTGGAATTGGATGTCGTTCTTCTTGTTGGTTGTTTAGGATACCTGGTTAGGTAGGTATATAGAGATTCTCGGTACGAAAAATAAATAACTCACTCTTGGTAACTGTTTTTTATAGTATGTTTTTCGGTGTTCTATGGGTTGTGTTTTTGGTGTTCTATGGGTTGTGTTTTTTAGTGTTCTATGGGTTGTGTTTTTTGGTGTTCTATGGGTTGTGTTGTGTTGTGTTGTGTTGAGTATTGATAAATAGCGTTTGGTATTGTTGTTTGTATTTATTGTAGGTGTAAAGTATTTATATATTTATATGTTTATATGTTTATATGTTTATATGTTTATATGTTTATATGTTTATATGTTTATATGTTTATATGTTTATATGTTTATATGTTTATATGTTTATATGTTTATATGTTTATATGTTTATATGTTTATTGATTGAGTTATGAATATGGAATTGGAATGGGAATTGTAGAATTCGTATCTGAAGGGGGAAATTACTGGGATGAGAGGGTTATCTTATAGAGGTGTTCTGATTATTCTGAATAATTGAATGATTGAATAATTGAATGATTGAATTGTTTTGTTTTGTTTTGTTTTGTTTTGTTTTGTTTTGTTTTATTTTGTTTTGTTTTGTTATGAATTATAATTGTGATTGTATTTTGATGTTTGGAGTTTGAGACTTGGAGTTTGGAGTTTGGAATTTGTTGTGTATGTATGTATGTGTGTATATATGTATGTGTATATGTATTAAAAAGCTATACTTTTGTGGTGAAGAGTGAGAGAGAAAATGAGAATTGTGAGGATTGTATACGTGGGTTTGGATTTGGATTTGGGTTTAGTGCTGGCTGGTTCTTTCTTGGTTGATGAAGTGGAGATAGGGATGAGGAGGGGGATGGTAATAGCAATGGGGATAGGGATGGAGATTGTTTCTTGTGGTTTGGTTTCTCTTGTTTTGAATCGATTTGGTTGTTGTGTGAATTAAAGGTAGCGGAAAATAGGGGGGATGAAGGATGAGGATGAGAATGGAATATTGGTGGAGGGGATGGGTGCGGATGGGGAGTTATGGATAGGGGATAGGGGAATAGGGGTGGGAGATAGGGGCGTGGGAAATAGGGGACAGATGTGGGTACCCGATGGATTGATTATATGATGTGTGGATGAGTAGATGATTTAGGTTGAGTATATTATGCGTCGTGAGGTATGTATGAGAAGATTATTACGCTTTGAATGCATTTTCAAGGGTAGGGGAGATGGCAGAAGCTGTGATGGTGTGGTGATGGACTGTGATTGTTCGGTGAGGAGGATGTGAAAATGCGATGTGATGTGCATTATGAAGGAAAGAGGGAAAGTTAGTTTTGATTTGGTGTAAGATCGGATATTAAAGAGATAAACTCGAGATAGGTCTTTAAATTGCTGTATATGTTTTGATTTTGGATATTGAGTAAGTTAAGTGAGTGAGTATCTGGAGGAATAATGAGTTGCATGAAGTGAGATGTAAAAGAAGTTGACATTATCCGAGGCGATGAAATGTAGGGGTGAGGTTCGAGGAGATTGTGTGTGTGTGAAGGATGGATACTGTATATCTCCAGGTGCTTATAGAGATTTGTGTATATGTGTATGTATGTAGATATGTGTCTATTAGATATGAAGAAATCTTGAAGCGAGTTTAATTGAAGAAGGTATATTCTCTTTCCAAAAAGAGGGAGTCGAGAGAACCGGAAATGGGGATAATCCTTCAACATCACTCATATTATGCTATACTGAAACAAGCAGGAACGAGGTCGTGCGTCAAAGTTGAGAGGGGCGCTTCAAGCTTTCGTAGTTTAAATTTTTGAGCTAAGTCTTGATTCTTGTATACACTTTTGGATATCAATGATTTGCTGCTTCTTATGTTCACTGTTCTGTGGTTTCTGAACTTTGGGAGAGAGGGGTTGTGGAGAGACGGTGGGAGTATGGGTGTTGATACTGTATGTATAATAATTATATGTGTGTAAGGAGTCTTGAATTAGATCAATGAAGAGATGATGGGAGAAGATCGTAATTCGTGAAAGAGAATGGATGGATATCTTCGGTTGAGTTTATTGGTTTCGAGGAGCACAATGATGGTAACCGAGATAGAAGTATATAGTATGCTGGCGAGATTTTAAGGGGTTGCCATATGTTATATCAGGAAGATTTGAAAAAATTGGCTAGATAAACGGAAGTGTTCAATTTCTACCTACCTGGGTAAGTTTATTTAGATGATTTGAGGAGTTTGAACGGAGAGTGTGAAATGCTGGATAAATGTATTTTGGATATTTGAATGGTGCTGAGTAGGGGGAGTGAGTTCATGCAATGGAATTCGACATATTCGGTTCCTGATTTGCTGTCGAGAGTGTTGGATAATGTGATGGTTTCTAGATAATCTATATGATACATTCCATACTCTACCGAGGAAGATTTTGTAAATATCGAGTGTGTCTTTCAAAAGATAGGATAGTGAGATAGATTTATGAGATATCTATATACTAGCAAAAGAATGACATGAAATTCCCAAGTAAAATTTAACCAAAGCAAAGCAGCTAGAAGCTGCAACCTACACTCAAGAATGACGTGCTCGTTTAGTATTTTCCTGGTACAGGTCTTTAATATCTTGCAGTTCTACTTAAGAAATAGAGACACTTATCCCGCGATTCAATAATGAGATTCTAGAAGTCATGAGCCAGGTCATCCAAGCTCGCTTACTAGTCTAGTCCGATCTTGGTGATTTCAGGGGGGTGGCTGGAAATTTATTGCGTGTCTGGATTAGAGCTAAAGAGATAGAGAGATAGAGATTGTGCTGTACATTTCTATACCGGACTACTTGTTAATGAGGCTTAGAGGAAGGGGAAGAGACACTTAGGGATTTATTGCATGTCTGAACATAAAATGAGTATGCTTATTTCGTTTTAGAATTGGACTTGTCTGAGTATCTCGAATAGATACATATATATATATATACATATATATATCGAAATGAAAGGATTACTGGGCTAGTAGTTTAAAGACCATCATTCATCCTTTTGGAAGCATTATAGGCTGGAAGTTCACAATCTTCGGAAGCTGAGAATTAGATTTCGTATCTCGATTACGAGATCAATGAGTTCCGGAGGCCGCTCATACAATGGAAATTGTCTGTATCAATGTTGAGAAGCGAGAGCTTTCGACAATTAGTGGGATCCTCAACGGCTGAAGCAGGGTGCATTGAGTTGCCGGCTGAACGTGCTTGGGTGATACCAAGTATATTGGTTTATTATATGGTATTGTCTACCTACATCGAGAGGTATTGGCAGACCACCCGAGATGACATTCCCATACATACAAGCTGAACTTGTACTTCTTCCCGGTTTTGTCTTATACAGCCAAGTGAGTTGAGATATATTGACACAAGAACAGTGAAGATTGGAAAAAGAAGTACGAATTGAATGGAGACATTGATGTGTTAGAATCGGGGCAAATTTGATAGGAATATGATTTCAAGAATACGTGTTACGTCTACTACAGTACACTATCGGCCTGATCTCAAAGCAATATAACGACAACTACGTATCGCCAAACGCAAGTTCTATCCCAAAACTCCTAAGAACCTGAACACCACCCATTGCCCAAAAATTCCCATCTATTCGTAAACGGCGTAATTCATAATGAATCAGCTAACCAAGCAGCAAAAATACTCCCCAAACATCCCAGTCTAATAACCCAACCCATTGCTTCTGTTCCAACAACTCCAACCTCTCCTAATGCCCAAAATACTAGACTGCCCTGTAACGCAGCGATGATTTGCGGTAAAGCAATTGCCATGTTGTAGAGGCCCATTATTGTGCCTGCTTGTAACTCTTCTCGGATTCTATTTCGTTTGTGGGATGAAGAGGCAGGTTGAGCTATTTGGGAGAGGGGGATGGAAGGAGTGGAGGTAGCGGAGCGGGAGCGATGTTGAGATCGCGAAATTTCAGTTGAGATGAGGGCAAGAGGAATCCAAGTATTGGTGGCCCAGGAGATACCGAGGAAGATAACAAGGATCGAGGTAGAGACAAAGGCCGATGTTAGTAAGGTAGATATAGTGAGAAGGGTGGTGAGGATATGAGAGAGTGTCCAGACGTGGGGAAGGGTGAGAAATTTGACGTGGAGGCGGGAGATGAAAGTGGGTTTCTGATCTTTAGAACTGATGGAGGAGGGCGAGATGAATAAAGGGAGTATCAGGTTTGAGATGAGTGCAACGAGGGCGAAGAGAATCATGATAAATGTTGCATGGCGGATGGAATGAGATGATGTGGTAGGAAATGCGATAGTAGGAGTTTCCTTTTTGGATATCGCGGTGTATTCTGCTTCATCTGGATCCAGTCAGTTTCGCTATTATTAGCATTAGAAATCGTGAGTAACATACAAAGACCGCCTAGGTATCTAGATCATTTTATTAGGATCATTTTCTAAAGTCACGAGATGACAATCAAGAGAACTTACGAGGTTATATAAAATAAAAACGGAAACCAGCCTATCCAAGCAAAAAATTGAACCACGCAAATCTTCCTGATCTCTGGCGGACACGTCTTTATGCTGCTAAGAATTTGACGTAAGTTCCCTGTGAAACTTTGCTTTTTTGTACTCGCATCCAAATCTACAAAACGTTTTTCTTTTGCCGTAAAGCAGGTCACCGCAACAGTTGAACCCAATGCCACGGAAGCAATCAGACAAAGCCCTTTTAATTGAGTGTCGCCAAGCCATGGTAAATATTTCGGCAGAGAAACATAGCCGGCAGTGTACCCTAAAATTGAACCAATCCCGGCGGCAGCACTCGCATATCCGCAAGCTTTTACCTGTTGTTTCGGCGGAACACAGTCTACGATAATTGCCCTTAGTCCCCCTTGCACGGGTTGAATTGCGATATTCAAAGCCCATATCCAAGCAGCTGCGGTAAGCCCTTTACATATCATTGCGCTGCGACCTACGGGGGAGCTTCCAAAAAAGGCAAAGAGGTATGATATCAGGTCAGTTGTCCAAGGAAGTGCGAGGATACAGACAATGGTTGCGACAGTACCTATGATAATAAATGGTCGACGGCGGCCGAAATAGTGTTGAGAGCGATCAGATAGAATGCCGATGTATGGTTGAACGATAGCACCAGAGAGGGGACCAGCGAGCCAAACTAGGGATATGAGGTAGCTGGGAACCGAGAGCGAGACCAGATAAGGCTTGAATAATTAGTTATGCACATGATTATAAGGACATAAGAAATATTAGATATATGCTTACAGAGCCTTGAGACATAATGGCCGTCCATATCACTTGAAGTCTACCGAATGTCAACAATGAATGACAGAACCAATACCAAGGGGGGGGATTTACCCGCCAGTGCTGATGGCCAGACACATTAAGTATAAATTCCCAACTTCCATCGCATCTTTCTCTTTCGCATCTGATTCTCGAAGTAAAGAAGTCTCGCTGTCTTCGAGAAATTGTTCGTCCATATCCATATAATCCAATTCATCCAATCTATCTTCCGCTGGCAGCCCCTCTTCCTCTATGCCCGCTCGTGACATCTTGTCGCGAGACACACTGTACACTGAGCAGGGAAGCCAAAAAATGAGACAAATGTTAAAAATAATATAGACAACCAATGCCGTACTATCTGTCTTTAACACAAAATCGCATTTGAGGATTCAACACAAAAAACCAACAAAAATAACCAACGAAAGTTAAAATACAATACAAACAGAAGATGGGCTGAGGAAGGATTGTCGTGCTGACGTTTGCCTCAGTTGTACACGCAATTGCGCATGCATGTCCACTCGTATCTACGATTGGTGCGCACCAAATCCCATTTGCGAACTTGTGGTTCGCCGAAAGCTGTTGTGCAACTTGTGCTCCATGATGTGGAGATTTCAAAGGGCAACCTATTTGTTTAAAGGAGCAATTAACGTTCCTGCCACCTTCCTATTTGAATATGGTCTATGTGCCCATTTGCAACATTATTGTTAGGCCACCCTTGTAGATGAAGATATAAACTTCTGGAGATAAAACATCAACGGCGGACTGATTTTGTGAGCCTTTCGATCAAGCTTCATGGGAGAGTCCCAGATATATATCAGCCGCCTCGAGGGTTGACGATTTATTGTCGTGTGTTAGGGGAAGAGAAAACTTTGGTGGTCCAGCAGCATGATCTCCGCGCCCGTGGGATAGAGAAACCTCTCAAGTAAACGGAAACGATCACGACTCGAACGATCGAATGGTTCTCATCCACGAGTCAAGACCTCATACACTATTATTCATCCACAAGCTGAATACTTTCGTCTCATCGCATCGAAGCATCTCTTCCGACAACAACCATCTTACCCGATCTCAATGTTGGATTCCAAAATCACGTGATGCTACCAGAATAAACCTCGGTTCAATTGAAAAGCTCCTTCATCTTCCGCCTCCGGTATTGACCGACCCCCGCGTTATCACAAGCTTATCTGAGTAACTTGACCCATTATCTCAAGATAAATTATCCTGTCCTGAAGGAAGCTCGGTACTACAAGTCAATGGACAGTAAGACGTCAGTTGCTCGAAAACAATGCTTGGAATTGGAAGCCAAGAAGAACAGAGAGCATTTGCGACAATTGAAGAAACACAACTGCATTCATCCTTTGTCTCAATTGCATTTGGCATGTTGAATACCGGCAATGAAATCAATTTTTCAACCACTCCAAATCGCCCGCATGGTAAGTCCAACGATAGAAAGTTTGCAAGTTTGCATCTAGTTTTTATATCAAAATTCGGCTTTTGCCCCTCCATATCAAAAGCAAGCTCTACGCTCCGCCGCTTCAGGCGTCCCTGGCTGCACATCCCCTAAAATCTATATCCGTTGAACCGAGCTACCAACCGGCACGTCGAAGACCAAGCACAAGCTTAGCATTTCTTAGCTGCCATCCGAGTCCGGGGCTCCACAACTTTCAATTGGAAGCCCATTCCCTTTCCCTATTCATGCAAGGCTGTGAAGTACAACGGGACTTGGCTTGAGGGAAGAGATGGGCCGCGGGACAAGATAGCTCGGCCCAGCTGGACGAACGCAAACGGAAAGGATGTAGACTCATATATACACTTGAGCAAGCAGCATTAAGGGTTTATTTACTTTTATTGTTCTCTTATTTCTCTGAAGTAGAAACAAGCTGCTTTTTGATTCGTTTTTATCTTATGACTTTTGAATATCTCTTGGAATCGCAAACGTCAATATCGAAGTGCACCTTCACATGTTAGAGACATAGACAATCAATTGCGCATAGTTGTTGTATCGATCTACCTACCAATATTGAAATCCATTGGCCTCGATCAGAGCTTTACATTTGATCAAACTTCTACAATTACACAAATCCTCTGCGAAGAGGTAATATATACCCAACATGTCAGCGAAAAGCGTCAAAGGCACAGATGGCAAGAAACCGGCCTCAGCGGCCACAAATCTTGTTGGTGAGTCACTTCCTCCATATCTATAAATTCCAATTGAATATTGTCTAACAACATATAGCTGGTGGAGCCGCAGGAATGATGGAGGCTCTTGTATGCCATCCTTTAGGTGCGTTTCTCCCTAATCACCCACTCATTGGACACCCTTCTAAACTACTCCTCGAATTCTAACCAATTTTCATCCGATAGACACAATTAAAGTCCGTATGCAACTGTCTCGCCGGGCACGCGCCCCCGGTGCGCCAAAACGAGGATTCATCACCACGGGTGCCGAGATCATGAAGCGCGAAACTCCCCTCGGTCTCTACAAAGGACTCGGTGCCGTTATAACTGGTATCGTACCGAAGATGGCTATAAGATTTACAAGTTTTGAGGCGTACAAGAAGTGGCTAGCGGATAAGGAGACCGGGGTTGTTAGTGGGAGAGCTACATTTTTGGGTATGTCTACCTTTCTTATGATTTCTGGGGTTATGAAAGAACGACCAGGAGAGACATACAGGCGCTTCATAGAAAAAATTGACAAAATGCTAACATACTACCTTCTCTAGCCGGTCTAGCAGCAGGTATAACTGAAGCCGTCGCCGTTGTAACACCCATGGAAGTAATAAAGATTCGTCTTCAAGCCCAACACCATAGTATGGCTGATCCTCTCGATATACCAAAATATCGTAATGCCGCACATGCATTATATACAGTTGTAAAAGAAGAAGGATTCGGTGCTTTATATCGTGGAATTTCTTTAACCGCTTTACGGCAAGGTATGTTTTCTCCCTTGTTATCAGTTATTTCCTATTTCACTATCCCCGCATTTCCCCACCACGTTCCCCAGGCCATGCATAGTTTAAGTGGTTTGCAATTCAGTTTTCATACTAACCCTCCACCAGGTTCGAATCAAGCTGTAAACTTCACCGCTTATACCGAGTTCAAAGAACTGCTCCAGAAATGGCAACCCCAGTACTCCGACTCCCCCATCCCCTCCTACCAAACTACGTTAATCGGTCTGGTATCTGGAGCTATGGGTCCTCTATCTAACGCACCTATCGATACCATCAAGACGCGTTTACAGAAAACTCCAGGAGTACCTGGAGAAACGGCACTCAGTAGGATAAAAACTATTGCAGGGGACATGTTTAGACAGGAAGGATTTCATGCGTTTTATAAGGGAATTACACCGCGGATAATGCGAGTTGCGCCGGGTCAGGCTGTCACATTTACGGTTTATGAATTTTTGAAGGAGAAGTTGGAGCATAGCGATATGCCATTGTTTGGAGGGAAATATGAAGAGTGAATGGATATGTGCGTAGATAAAGGGGACAACGGGACTTTTTGAGTATATATCCAGAACTCACGATACGCTCGGGTAGAATGTGGGGAGATATAATGCCGTTGTATAATATGGTTTTCCAAGAATGATCATTTCGCATAAATATCGTCTCGTATAGGAGAGAGGGAGCACCCATAAATCCTTTAACCAAATTCATATTGTCCTTGCGCTTGATAATGTATACGGAGTCAAAATTTATCCTAAATATCTATGCTCTTCCAGGTCTCTTAGGTCTGGCGAATGTTTTCTTCACTTCTGCCTTAGGATGTAAATCGGAATCGATACTTTCTTGAGAAATATCCTCGGGAGATCCAGCTTCGAGTCTTTTCTCAATGGTGAGTCCTGCCTCTGACTCAGCCAATTGTTGAGCTGATCGAGAGGATGATGCATAGATCATTCGTTCTTTTATCTTGGAACCTGAAGGGCAAGTGTAAATGAACAGTATTGGCGAGGAAGTTGAGCCGTTATGGTCGTGAGTGTAGCGATAGAAAGAGAACCGAGGCTCGGTGGCAGATATAGTGCTACTAAGTTCTGAGATAGATGTTTGTGTCTTTGAAGCAAGTTCCATGGTTTCTTGCGCAATGTTCATTTTCTAGGGCTCGTTAGCAATTGGATATCAATTCAAAGAACAACGAAACTTACGATCTGAACCAGGTTATGTGCACCGTCCTGGTTGAGCCCCTTTAAGGCTTCTAATGCATCTGGAGTAGCTGGCATACTAATGCCGCTACTTACATGACTCTTCCTCTCATTCATACCTCTGCCTTCTTCTGCCTCCTTCCTCTTTACCTCGCCCAGACTTTGTTCCTCTTCTGTTAATGGCGCGGCCAATTTAACATGTTTATCATGCTTAGCGAACCCTTCCTTTGTCAACTCTTCCTTCATAGTCGCGAATATTGTTTCTCGGAATCGCTCGATTCCCAATTCTCGAACCAAGGTAAGACGTGTAGACGCGAACAGCATCTTCTGACGAACAGGCGCAGAGTCGGGAACATAGGTTATGGCAACGAAAGGGGCGGGGTCATTGGAGGGATAGCGACGAAGTATTATGTATAAAGCAGCTTTTTCTTGGAGATGTGGTGCTAGGAGGTCGAGATCATTGTCGAAGGATGAAGTGGAGGGTTCGAGGATAGCGGAAGGGGTGAGTCTTTCCCCAGTGATGGTACAGAGAAGACCTCTCTGCGATTCCGTAGATACGAACGTTTTAAACGCCGTGTGAAGTTCTTGGGAAGCTATGAGAATACAAGTGGTTAGTTCTACTCAGAACAACATTGAGATGCTGCTATACCTGTTATTCCAGACTGCATTTTGAAGGACTTGTCTGTGACACTGTAAAACTTAATTGAAGAGAAGAATGGGTGCGTTCGATTAAATGTATTTAATAATCCAAAAACCCGGAACTTTTGACACGACAACAAGTACAACAATGATGACTGCGGGGCGCGAATCAAATAGATTGGCAAGGGGGGAAGTTGGGAACGAACGGTGAATCTTAAGTGGGGCACACTAAAAGAGGGGCACCTTGCATAAGAGAGCTTCAAGCTTTCCTTTCTTAACTTCACATTCACTCTATCGTTTTAGACTTCACTTCACTCCCACATTGCATCGCATCGCATAATTGCAAACCGTACTTATATATTTTTAATCAAGATGGAAGGTACGCAGCAGACTACAGCTGCTTTAATTGGTAAGTTGTTACTATTTATTTACAACTCTCATGATTCAAACGCAATTAATCATCGACTTAATCAATCGATACAATCACGATCTCGACAGCGACCAGAACGAAATCGATAACACAGCAAACCCGACTCAAATTCAACATGTCTTGTGATCGCGATCCTTGGGATTCTTCTCGCGGTGAAATTATAGGGACGGTCTCCGGAAATTCAATTGCGACCAGTGATTCCACCAGAATCAATGAAGACAATGCAATCGATTCCTCAACCCCTTCTCGCCCTGGATTTATATCTAGAACGGTCTCGAGTGACTACAACATGGCCAATGATTCCATCAGAATCGATGAAGGCAATGCCGCCAACTTCATGGCTCCTCCTGGCAGTGAGCACATGTCTGGAGCGCCGGCTAGTTATCCTACAAGTCATCTCACTGGAATCAATGAATCCAGCGTCACCGATACATCAAATCCCGCTTCTCCTGGGCCCATTTCTAGAATGTTATTCAGTGATTCCGTCATGACCAATTGGCCAATGGTCTCCGACTCATCTATGAATCAATCTACCGACGCCGTAGCAACTGAGCCTATGTCGTGGCTACCTGGTCCAGAGGTTGCAATGCCCTACTCTAGTGACAATCAATTCGGAAATATGCCTCCTCAACCCATTGGCGCTCTAACTTATGGGCTTAACATGCCTCCACAGCCCATTGGGTCTACTGGCGGAAATACATCAAGCACTAGATTGCCCTACTACGGAGTTGGCATGCATCCACTACTCGTTAATTCTACTGCCGAAAGTACCTCAAGCACTAGAATGCCATACCACGGAGTTGGCATGCATCCACTACTTGTTGATTCTACTAGCGGAAATGCATCAAGCGCTTTACCCAACAATGAAGTTAGCATGCGTCTACAATCTCCCATTCAGTTTGCTAGCGAAAATATCACAAACCCCAGCTTGCTTAATGAATATGCAGCAAACGAAGTAGTAGGATTTGTTGAACCAGTCTTCAACAATCACACGCCGCATCAAGGGGCTGCAAGTCTCGGTTTGCCCAGGGAAGCCACAACAGCCAACGAACTTGTTTTCGACAACGGTACAATGCGCCAAGAGGGTTCTTCTGCACAAATGACCCAAAATGGTTTACACATGGAAGTATCCTTAAACTTTGAAGACGCATCTATACCAGGCTTGCTCAACGAAGTCACAGCAACCACGCAACCAATTTCCAATAACGAAATGTTGCGTCAAAATGATTCATACGCACAAGTAGCTCAAAATGACATGTCCATGGGAAATCTTCTCGGCAATGGGAATGAATCAAGGGTTTCATTGTTCAACGCATTCGGAGCAAACGAATTCTCAGAATTACCCGAACTAGACTTTGGCAATAGCACGTTGCACCAAGATGATCCAAATCCAAACTTGCCCAACGAACTCACAGCAAATGAGTTCGCAGAACTACCTGAAGTAGTCCTTGACAATGGCATGTTGCACCAAGATGGTCTACGCCCCAACTTGTTCAATGAAGTCACAGCGATCACCGAACCAGTTGCCAGCAAGGAAGCCGCATCAATCACGGGACAAGTCGCCAACAATGAATTCACAGCAGCTACCGAATCAGTTGCCGAAGATGAAAGACCGAGTCAAAATGATCCAGTCCATAAACACGGATCTGTTCACAATGATGGCTCAGCAGATAACCTAGCCGAAATACGCAGATCCAAAGCTGACGAACTCACAGACCGCCAGGAACGTGCTATCGCTGCTCTCCTTATTCGTTTCCAGAATCTCGTTAAACTTGCTGCGCTACCTACTGAAGATGCATTTACGAAGGAGACTGCAGCCGCAGAGGGATTGAGAATGGAGGTTGAGAGTAATGCCTTGGTACGTCTATTCTTATTTCTTTTATCTAGCATCTAGAGTATCCGGGGTTAAGCTTAGTGAGTATCACTGATAACTGTATGAGCAGACAAGCGCAGCAGAAGATCTCTTAAAGTTGACTAGAGAATTGAAGGAGTTTTGGATTTTTGGGTCATTAAGAGGAATCGGCGAAGGAGAAGGTGATGGAGAAATGGAGACCGATTCAAAGAAGGTCGCGGAATTGATTGAGAAGCAATTGGAGAAAAAGCATGAGCAAGAGAAAAACAAGGTATAATCAAGATTTACACTGAGTATTTGGCGTTCAAGATGGGGAATGGGAGCATACTGGACTGGCTGTCTTATTTCCATGGAGTATGGGAACGGGTGGTAGATACCAGGCGTTTTGGTAAAGCCCTGTATCAAAATGCTTTACTAAAAAGGATAAATCTGAGAATATCAGAAATGTCTATTCTTAGTATTCATGTAGGTAAAATTCTTTGATTTACACTCACAGTACCTAAAAATAATACAATATAAAAGAAGGCAACGAATCTTAAGTCAAGGAATTAATAAACTCTTTGTGAGGTATGAAATGATTGGCTAAGATCAAACGTAATGAACAAGGCTGAAGCACGGCTGATGTTAGCCTTATGCACCAATTAGGAAATTTTCCAACAAAGAAATTCTGACAACCCCAACTCAAAAAGTGCAGGCTCTCTCAATGCTTTCTCTTTACAAAACCACCAACCACAATCGCCTTGGACTTTTACGTTCGATCACAATTGCAATGTCATCTCCACCAAACCCTAGAGCTAGAAAGCAACCTCGTAGAGGTCGTTATTCTTCTCAATTAGCAAGTACCAGAGGAAATGCCAGAAATGCCAGAGGTGGCAGCAATGCTCAAATTGTATCACCTATCCAAAATGCATCACCTATCCAGCATGCAGCATTTTCTACTTCCACATCCTTTGCAGAAGAAATGGCTGCAGTTGCCGCTCCTCCACTTACCACTGCAGTCCCTCTCGATACTCCACGATTCGCAGATCTCGGTGCTGAAAATCTCCTCAACCCAATCCTTCTCCAGACCATTACTGAAGACTTAAAATTCGACCACATGATGCCGGTTCAAGCCGCAACTCTCCGTCCTTTACTTTCAGAACGCGCAGATTGTTTGGCACAGGCTAAGACTGGAACTGGAAAAACCATTGCTTTTCTTATTCCTGCGATTCAGACACTTATTAACAAACAGAGACGTCCTCAAGATGGAATTTCTCTGTTAGTCATGACACCAACGAGAGAACTTGCACAGCAAATAGCAAAGGAAGCGAGTCAATTATTACAACGTCTTCCTTATTATAAAGTTGGATTTGCCATCGGTGGAACAAATAAAACTGCAGAGGAGAAGAATATTTTGAAGGGCTGTAATATTCTTATTGCTACTCCAGGTCGATTATTCGACCATCTTAATGATGAAAGAATTATCGATGCTTTCCGCAATCTCGATACCATCGTTCTTGACGAGGCAGATAGATTACTCGATATGGGATTTATGAATGCCATTAAAGATATTATCAGATGTCTCCCAGACAAGGCCAAAACCAACAGACAAGGAATGCTCTTCTCCGCCACTATTGCTCCTCATGTTGAAAAGGTCGCTCACTTAGTTCTCTCAAAAGATTACAAGTTCATCTCCACCATTCCCAAGGGAGAAGTCAATACTCATGAACGTGTTCCTCAACATCTCGTTACCGTTCCAAATTTCTCTGATGTGGCCCCAGCAATGGTAGGTTCTATTCGCGAAGAAATGAAATTGGAAGGTAAGGATAGCTTCAAGGCTATTGTTTTTGCGCCTACCGCTGCCCTTGTAGACTTCTACGCCGATATTCTCTCTCAACTATCAGATCTCCCACCCATCACCGCATTACATTCTCGTGTATCTCAAAGTAAGAGAACAAAAGTCACAAACGATTATCGTGAAGCCAAAAATGGTATTCTTGTAGCTACAGATGTAGTTGCTCGTGGAATGGATTTCCCGGGCGTCACTAACGTCTTTCAAGTTGGCATTCCAGCCGATAAAGAATCTTACATTCATCGTCTAGGTCGTACAGCGAGAGCAGGCAAAGAAGGTCGTGGTGTATTCATCGTCACAGATGCCGAAGGCGCATTTCCAAAATGGACATTGAAAGAAATCCAATTTCTACCAACACCCGCAGATCTGAGCTCTGCAAATGATGTTTTAAGAGTAGCATCGAAGATGGATAATCATTCAAAAACATATCAAGCTTGGTTGGGATACTATAAGAACCATCTTAAACTTATGAAGTGGGATAATGCGGAGTTAGTTCGTCAAGGCAATGTTTATGCAAAGGAGGGATTGGGTGCACCAGAGACGCCAACTCTTTACAGAGGCATTGTGGGAAAGATGGGACTTAAGGGTACTCCAGGTTTGACTATCATTCCAGATCCTCCTAGAGTTCCACATGGAGGAGGAAGAGGTGGTGGTGGTGGCGAGGGAAGAAGTGCCGGGAGTGGAGGAAGAGGTGGTAGAGGCGGTAGAGGTGGTGCTAGAGGTGGCAGAAACTGATGACCTTAATGGTACACGTGGATATGTACATGGTTAATGATGTGGAAAATGACACTTCCGTCATATTTCACCAGTACACATCTCCAAGCCACGACGACTCAAAATAAAACACGAAGCGTCTATGAGTTTCATTGGCTAGTTGATGGATGAATTTGATGTATAGATAGATAGATAGAAGGAAGGATAGAAGGCTAGATACCTACAAAATGGCATGGATGGCGCGTCGTGGCGTAGTAGGCGTTTCATTTCGTTTTCAGCATAAAAGTCTTTTATTTGAGATTTCTAGTTATGAGTATAGATAGCTGAGGTAGATTCTCTTATTCTAGATTTCTAGTTGTGTTTTACTGGAATGGAAATTGATTATTTTTTACTCTGGTGTCTTGGGTGGTGTTGTGATGTGATGTGATGTGATGTGCTGTGATGTGATGTGCTGTGTTGTGTTGGGTTGTATTAGGTGGTGTTGTGCTGTGATGTGATATGATATAATTTATATTCTATTTGTTTTTATATCAGGTATACTATATCAGGTATACTATATCAGGTATACTATATCAGGTATACCATATCACCTCTTGTTTGTGTTTGTTTAGTAAGATTGATTGGAATAGATGAAGTATAGATGAAGGAGGTAGGTAGATGAAGTAGGTAGATGAAGTATATAGATAAAGTATTTAGATGAAATATATAAATAAAATAGATAGATAAAGTATTTAGATGAAGTATTTAGATGAAATATATAGATGAAGTATATAAATAAAGTAGGTAGGTGAAGTAGATAGGTGAAGTAGGTAGATGAAGTATTTAGATAAAGTATATAGATGAAGTATGAAGTATATAGATGAAATGTAGATGAAGTAGGTAGGTGAAGCAGGTAGGTAAAGAATGAATGGGCTAGAGTGTGGTAGTGACTTAAATATCTGATGAAAATCATATTGAATTAGGGGTGTCATTTATATCGTTCAGGTCGGAGTGAAACTACTTTACAAATTATATATCATGATATAGATTACTATCACTTGAAGTGGTTTTGATCGTATATAATCATGTTGTATTCACTCAAAGGAAAAATATTATCGAGAAAAAATTGCTTTTCATTTCAATCGAATGTCGCTAAAATATCAGCCATCATTTTTTGTGGCAAACTCCAAAACCCAGCCATTCCTTTCATCCCAGTCATGTCATGAAAAAATAGATATAATACATTTATCTGCAGCAGTAACCACCGTCGATAACGATGTCAGCTCCAGTGGTATAGGTGGAAGCATCAGATACCAAGTAGACATAGGCACCCTTCAACTCCTTGGCTTCACCATCACGACCCATAGGGATCATGGACTTCCACAAAGCTTGAGTCTTTTGGTCGACAAAGTCGGAAAGACCAGTGTCAATGTAACCTGGGGAGATAGAGTTGACACGGGCGAAGTCGCGCCATTCGTTGGCGAGGGAGCGTGCCATGTGAATGCATCCTGCCTTGGCAACGTTGTATGAGGTTTGCTCTTGTGGGAAGTTGGCGATGTGACCGGACATCGAAGCGGTGATGACGAAAGAACCGGTTCCACGCTCCTTGAAGTGGTGTCCAACGGCCTTTGCGCAGTGGAAGGTTCCGTTAAGATCGGTTTGAATGACCTCGTTCCCTAAAGATGGGTATTAGTGATGGTTCATTACAAAGAAAAACTAGCGTTGGGAAATAACTTACAAGCCTCGACGGTTCCATCGAGAATACCGCTATCAGCAGTTCTACCAGCGTTGGCAATGAAAGCATCGACCTTTCCGAATTCCTTGACAACATCGGCAACCAACTTCTCTACGCTAGCATAATCACCAATGTCCAACTTGTATGCCTTAGCCTTGACACCATACGTCTCGGCCAATTCCTTGGCGTTCTTCTCACCTCCCTCGGGACGGGAAGAGTATGTGATGGCGACATCAGCACCCATCTCGGCACATCCTCGTGCGGCTTCGATACCCATTCCCTTGGGCCCGGAAGCACCGGTGATGATGACAACCTTTCCCTTTAAGGAGAAGAGGTCCTTGAGGGAATCAGCTTTTGGGATGGAGATAGGCATGATGATTGAGTATTGTGTTTTTGTTTGGGTATTATAAAGAGAAAAGTTAAAGTTGAGAGATTGTTCTTGAAGTTTTGAGAGAGGAAGTTTTTGTATGTATGAGGAAGAAAGAAAAGAAGAGGAAGAGGGGAAGATGACTTGTATTTATTCTTTTTTGTCCGTCTTACCTGGAAGGGCTTACCAGGTTCTCAAAGTGTCGACAAAAAGAAGGCACTAGATTCGGAGAATCAGAAAAGGTAGGTACGTATCTCGTAGATTACTGTAGATTACTGCCGATAGTACAAGGTAGGTCGATAGACGCTTGCGGCTTTCTCTCTCAATGTACTATCTGACCTTCTGAACTTCTCAAGGGAACTAAATGCGGGGCAGCCCTCAAAGGACGAATGAAGCAATGACGTTCCTGAAGACCCCACCTGCTTGCGGTTGATCGTCCACTCCCGACCACTCCTACTTGCCAGGTTGGGACATCGCAATGCTTGATAAATTGATTATGGAATCATGATGCATCGAGATGATGAGGAGGACCTTGATAGATAGATGCATACTCGTACTTAGGTACCTAGGTATTGTATTGTGTGTTACGTGTTGTAACTTGTGTATTACCGGTATGTATTATGGCCTTCTTATTTATTTATTTATGTGTGCATGTATTTACGTATTTACGTATTTATCTAGGTACTTACTCAGTATTTACTTAATTCCTTATTTCTTATTACTTTCATTACCTACATATCATAGTGTTTGAATTCTTTCTTCACTCTAACATTTACTCCCTCCCCCCAAAATGACATCATCATCATCATCATCATCATCATCAAAAAATCCCAAATCCCATGCCCCGCACCAAAAGTTCTCGATAGCTACGATACGCATCCACCGGAAAGAGAATAAAACCCGCTCAAGCAAACCCCTGACAACCAACAAATTAATTACAGAAAATCATCTATCGTAGATGTTTGACGGCACAATCGGAATCCGTTACATGCATGGTAGTGGGAGCAGGAGAAGGAGTGGATCAACTTTAAAGCTTTTCATGGATGGAGATTCCACACTTTCTTCGGCGTGAAACTTGGTGTGAAAGAATAAGGAGGTTTATTCGGCCCGGAAGGGAGTACGTGTGGTTACTGATGATGTTACTTATGATGTTACCATTTCCACATTACATTGATGGGAGTGAAGTGTAACCAGTACCAAGTATAGATACCAACCTACATACCAATTCGTGATATCATTTTTCTGGACCTCAATAGAGAAGTGTGGAATTCGTATCGTGGGATAAAGGAGGTATTGCTCCTTGTTCGTGTGTGTTAGTCAGTTATTAGTGCTACAATACAGATTATTCATACGTTGTACTCACACGGTGTACTCACACCTCACACCTCACACCTCACATCTCACATCTCACATTCACATTCACATCCATATTTACCAAGACATGTTGAACCTCTCAAGGTTGTTCTTGGCCGATTTCTAGTAAGATCACGTTCAAAAAATGTTTGACGATTGGTTACTTATTCACCACCTTGCATCTCACCAAAACCTTCTCCTACATTTCCGAATCTGACATTGGTTCTCACATTTACCATCTACGGGTCTCGACTCTTATGGAATTGAGATCAAAAAGGTGGTTGGGATTGAGGCTTTCTGCCATCTCTCTATATGCTTGGTGGCTCAATTCAATCAATTGACCTGGAATGCTGTTCTTGGTTCCATCGAGCAAATCCTTAAATGCATTACAAAAGGTTACCTAGTACTCCGTGCACAGAAGAGGAACTTTCGAATTGATTTTGAAGTCGACACGAATACCTTCAACTTCAAGGTTGAACTTTTTGCTCTCATGCCAAGTCTTTCGCATTGAGGCATGCATACTCGATCAAAATAGGTAATGAAGTTTCATTATCTTATCAATGTCCAGTCGGCGGTCCCCGATTAGGATTGATACGTTGACCTTGATAGACCAAATATGGCAACGCTGGCGGCAATGGTGGGGTATTCAACTTCAATATTTTTTTCTGCAAAATTTCATCTTTTGTTTTGTACAATTGAACTGGTTTCACTGGATGTTTCAGTTAGGAAGTATCTTCTTTGCATCTCATCGTCCTTTGAAATGTCTCCTAGACCGCCGACATGTCTTCATCCCTTAATTGCTCGTTTACCCCCTCAAATTCGCTTCCTGCCCTACCCCGCAGTTAGGATCATATCCATTTTGATTTTTATCAATATCATTATTTGGGTGGCAGTGGCTATCGTTTTACGTTCTCATCCACTTCTATCTTCATCTGCTGTACTTTCATATACATTCGGCTTGAGACATGCTCTGTAAGTTCTGATTTCTGATTCTTCAATATTACCATTTACCTTATGATCATGTGATTCTCCATTTTAAAACTCCAACTCATCAAATCCAGTGATGCCGACCACATATCCGCCATCGATCTGATGACCCGTCGACTCATCGCTTCCGGCTCTTCTCATACATCTCAACCAGTGACAGTTGGTACTTGGTTCTCGTTAGGCCACTCTACTATCGTAGTCATAACCTGTATCGTCGTTGCAGCCACTTCTGGCGCTCTTGAGTCACGCTTCAATTCTTTCAGTAATATAGGTGGAATTATCGGCACGGGTGTATCTGCTGGTGTACTCATTATACTTGGAATTGGAAATGCATGGATTCTATGGAAATTGGTGGTTAAATTACGAGCAGTTCTGAGGGAAGAAGTTGATGGAGATGGAGGTGAAATGGGATTAGGTTTTGATGGCGGAGGAATTATGATGAGAGTTCTTCGAAGAGTTTTCAAAGTGATCGATCGTCCATGGAAAATGTACCCTCTGGGTGTATTGTTCGGGCTGGGTTTCGATACCAGTAGTGAGATTGCAGTTCTGGGAATTGCATCTGTGGAAGGTGCTAAAGGAACCAATATTTGGCTAATCTTGATATTTCCTGTTTTATTTACTGGTAAGATTGTTTTCTTCTCTTCAGTCATCTACATAACATTGTGCTATAGAATGTTTTGAGATGCCTGGTACTGACAAAAACATAGCCGGCATGTGTCTAATCGACACCACCGACGGCGCACTAATGATGACTCTCTACACGTCCACATCTCTCGCCCGCGACACAATAGCTATTCTCTATTACTCAATTGTCCTAACAGGTATTACAGTCCTCGTGGCTATCTGCATTGGAGTCATTCAATTACTCTCCTTGATAGCGAATTTCTCAACAGGACCTTTCTGGGATGGAGTTAATGCCGCAGGTGATCACTTCGATGTTATTGGCGGAGGCATCTGTGGAGCTTTTGTAGTTTTTGGAGGCGCGAGTGTGTTACTCTATGGTCCTTGGAGAAGATGGGTTGAGAAGGGAAGAGTTGGAAGAAGAGGTGTAGGAAATGGAGAGGTAGAAGTGGAATTGGGAGATTTGAGTAAGGAGGTTGAAACAAGAGATGGAGATGAGAAGGATGTTGCGAGAATTACAGATAAAACTGTGGAGGTAAAGTAGAAATGTTGATCGGTATATAAATTAGATCTTCAGATTTGAATATGTGCTGAAGTACATCTTCTGCATCACCTGGGTATCTGGCTAATAAGTCGAAGTAGATGGGGTTCTAGAGATAGAGCGATTGGGTGGGGGTTGACTAAGCATTTCAACTTACCATTCTGACCTTTTCGACAACCGTATTATTACAACTCTCTTAATCCCGTGTCTCAGTTGATACCAGCTCATATTTTCGTTTGAAAGTTCATAGGAGATGGGAATTTTGATAAATATGATATGATGAAACTCAGATGTGAATGATATATAAAATGGAAATGTGGTACCTAGTAATCTCAAATGTTTTGCATGGGGTAAGCTGCAGCTACCATTGACGGAATGAAGCTCCGAGAGGTAGGTGGAGCAATAACGTCATTGAAACGACGTTCTTTAGAATGAGGGGCAAGGAGCTCTTTGATGTTGAAGCAAAGAAAGCATTTCTTATTTGTAAAATATGAAAAGTTTCAACACATCTACCCTAACACGGCATTAAGGTAGACTGAAATTAAATATGGCCGAACAAGATACACATGCTTCTCATTTTGGAGGCCATCCTATTCCCACTGAGAAAGTAACAGAGAGGGTATCGAAATGGAATTTGGCAAGTCTAGGTAAGCTTTCCTGTCCGTCTCTCAATTCAACAAAGAATCTTTCAATTGACGACCGATGATAGGCAAGGCATCTACAAATAATACATCCAACTCTGCCGTCTCAGAACAAGATCGCTTTGGATCCAGCTCTTCTATTGTTCCACCATGGAATCCACAAGTTAACGCTACAGCCATTGGTCTACTCCAACGTAGTTTCCTTCCCGCCTTAACCACCAACACAACCCTCTCCCTCATCTCATACACCATCGCGCGACTCACCAACCGACTCGATCTCAAAGACGTGCTCTGGCCCCTCGGCCCCCTCATCACTTCCTGGACCCTCGCACTCGAACGCCACAACTTCGACCTCTCACAAACATGGACGCATCTCGCGTATCCTCAAAAACTCATCATGGCCGGTCTGACAGCCTGGTCCCTCCGTCTCTTCTACCGCATCACATCGCGCGCTCTCTCTCGCGGTGAAGACGACGCGCGCTACGCTTCTGTCCCGAAAACGAGAGACTTTTGGAATAAAACACTCGTTTCGACATTTCTGCCGGAAGCCCTCGTGCAATCCATTATTGCGCTTCCGTTTGCGATGAGTTTGGCGGCCCCAGAGGTGCTGATTGGAAATCAGCCACTTCCTGGTAATCCGGGTTGGCAAGTGGCTCATGCGGCTGGGGTATTTCTTTTCACGACCGGATTTGCTTTGGAAGCGGGTGCGGATTGGCAGTTGGAGAGTCATAAGAAGGAACGAACGGTGGGACTGTTGAGAGATGGTGTTTGGAGTATTGTTAGACATCCCAAGTATGTATTTTCGTGTCTCTTTTTCTTCATTCATTTTGTCGTGACTTGATTATTCAGCACAAAACTAATATGAATCCCTCTCCATAGCTATCTAGGAGATGCACTCATCCATGCCTCTTTTCCACTCGTTCTTTACGGAGCAGGAATCTTCCACCCTCTCATGCTTCTGGCTCCTCTTGCGAACTACGCGTTCTTGAGATATGTAGGAGGAGATGGACAGAATGAGAAGAGTCAGGAAGAGAGATACGAGGAGCGAGATTTGAAAAAAGCAAAGGATTTGAAGAGTTACCAGATGGAGAAGAATAGTTTCTGGCCCCGTGTAGAGGAGTGGAAAAATGAATGGACTTGGATTGTGGTGGGGGCTGGAGTGGCAGGTGTGGTTGGTGAGTGGGGAGTTGGAAAGTTTTTGTAGGGGGTGATGGGATGGTGGATGTGTTAAATGGAGGTATGCTGGGTGAGTATCTAAGATTTAGGATGGGTATCAGGATCTGGATCTGGATGGGGGAGAAGTGTAAGATTGTGTATGGAATTATGAGGAGTAGGTACTAGGCTTCTGTACTTGTTTTATTTAATGTTATGTGAAGAAATAAATGGAGTAATGTATATATGCATACAATGTTTATCGAATTTCTGTTTCTGTTTGCTTTCAAGATTACTTTCAAAAGATACCTCCCTATCTCCCTACCTATCTATCTATCTTCCTACCTATCTATCTATCTATCTACCTACCTCCCTACCTACCTACCTCCCTACCTACCTACCTCCCTACCTACCTATCCATACTAAATCCGCACTCGTACCTTTAAAAGAGAGGAATAAAAACTACCTACATGATAGGTATTTGTACTGCGAAAGTTATTAGCAAAGACTTTGCTCTGTAGATTCTTTCGATATCTTATTCTATTCATTAGATATACTTTTATCTGGTGATCGTAATGCTGGGATTAAATCTTTTCGCTTGCTTGGATTGGATTGGATTGGATTTTTTGGTGTGAGAAAGATGGGGGTGGATGATGGGGGGGTAGGATGGGGGTGTGTGATGGGGGGGTATGATGGAGGGGTATGATGGAGGTGGATGATGGGGGGGTATGATGGAGATGTATAATATAGATATATAATAGATGTATGATATAGGTATATGATATAGGTGTATAATATAAATATATGATGAAGATGTATAATATAGATATATAATAAAAGTATATAATGTAAATATATAATATAGATATATGATGGAGGTATATAATATATCATGATTATTATATATATATCTAATGTATAAACTGTATGAATGTAGTGGGGAGTATGTATGTTCTTGTGTATATAATGTATCTAGGTGGGTAGGTAGTATCTGATGTTTATTGGAGATATTGGAGATATCGGAAATGTATTTCTGTATTTGAGTATTTGAGTATGGGTTTTATAAAGAGGTTTTAAAGGGTTTTGAAAGGGTTTGAAAGGGTTTCTGGAGAGGGGTTTAGGAGAGGGGTTTAGGAGAGGGAGTTTGGAGGGGTTTGAGAGAGGTTTGAGAAGGTTTCTAAAGAGTTGGGAGGTTTATAGAGGGTTTCTGAAGTGTTTCTAAAGAGTTAGAGGAAGATTCATGAGGTTATGTTTGTTTGCTAGGTAGTTAGGTAGTTAGTTAATTAGATAGGTTTTGTGCGGGTTTGGGTCTTGGAGGTTGGATGAATGGATGGATGGTTGGATGGTGGTAGGTAGGTAGCTGGATTTGTATCTTGCATTCGTATCTGCACATACATATACATCTTGCGGAAAGATACTTGCGGAAACTCACATACATGCAGTATCTGCATCTTCATACCTAGGTAGGCATATATCACATGTCTGCACGTACCTATGCATATCTTCCTTTCCTTCCCCTTCCCTTCTTTCTTTCTCAAACTTATAGGATTTTTTCTTTGAGGAGTGTCTAGGTAGGTAGTGAGTATGCGGGTATTTATAAGTATATATATTAATCAGAGCAAACTTCTCCAAAGTCATTCTTCTCCCCAACTTCCTTGATCTATTCTGATGCGAGGAAATTTTCACTTTGGCTACTTCACTTCATCTGAACTCACCTTTCCCTCGGTAAATTACATACCAAACAAACGCACGCTTTAGAATCTTTAAAATTGGAGAAGAATTACCTACCTAGGTAGTACGCATTTTCTATCTGGTCTGGGTATCAATTTTTCAGTTTTTCAATTTTTCAATCTATTGATCAATCAATCAATCGATCAATCGATGTGAAATAAATTCATTGCATTGGAAAGTTATACCGATTCTTTGAGAGGTGTTTCTGAGGGGTATTTTGTGTGTGCGTTTGGGTTTGAGTTTATGTTTACGTTCACGTTTACATTCACGTTTACGACACTTTTGATATCGAGAGGAGATTAAAAGAGAAATCGAAATCGAAGCAGAGATCGAAGCAAACATATAAAATCAACATCAACATCAACATTTCAGACATCAAAAACTTTTTCTCCATCATCACAGGAAGAAAACAGATAGAGAGAGTTACGCAACAAAAGGAATTTGAAGTACTCTCCCCATATGAGTTTGTGTTTGGATGTGGGTTTGAATTCGATTTTAGATACATCGGCGTGAGAATTGAGAATAGGGAAAGAAAGAGAGGAAAAGGAAAAGGAAGGAAAGGAAAGGGATTATTAATAACGCGCTTTTTTATCGAGGGGAAAGACGCATAAACTTTGCTTTTGAGGAAGTACTTACGGATCGGATCGCAAACTGGGCAAACCGCGTTTTTCTCGTTTGAGTTTGTTTTTTCGGGAGAGTTTGGAAGAGAGGAGGAGAAAGAAAGAAAGAAGATTGATGGATGCAACGGAAGAAGAGGTTGCTAGACAATTGTGGAAGGAACAATTTGCGCAGGGTGAGAGGAGGATAGGGGAGATGGATATGCAAGATAGAGGGATGGGAAGTGGGAGTGCGAGTGCGAGTGTGGGGAGGGGGATTGGTGGATTGAATTTGGATGGGTTGGGCGAGAAGGAGAGAGAGGGAGGTGTGAGGGTAGAAGGAGAAGGTGGTGGGATGGAGTTTGCGGGATATGTGAATGCTGGATTGGGGAACGGAAGTGGAAGTGGACAGTTTGGGGGAAGAGAATCGGGACTTGAGGAGAATGAAGTGGTTTTAGAGGGGCCGTTGTTGGCGTTGAGAGAGTGAGTTTGTTTACGAGCTTCCTTTGATACTGTTTATCTGTTTTGATTTGAAGATCAAATGGAGAGAGTGATAGGGAGTCAAGAAAAACATCTTCACACAATTGAAGCTAACACGGTTTGATAGAGCTCTACTCGAAGGACGATTCTCAGACTTGACAGTCTTCCATGGTGTGCGAGTATGGAATGCGCATAAAGTAGTCGTGTGTTCCCAATCACCGGTTTTGGAGAGTATGATTGATAATACCGGAGTTTGCAATATGGTAAGTTCTCTCTATGCTATCCCCTTAAACACCACACCAATAACCTCCCTCCTAGTTCGGCTCCCCCACCAAACCCAGCATCCTCAACCTCTCCTCCTTCCCCCTCGACTCCATCATCGCACTCCTAGAATACCTCTACACATCCGCATACTCGATCCCCTCTCCTCCACCCAACACCTCCCCCTCATCCTCCACCTACCTCTCCGGCCCCACCTACTCTCTCCCCCTCCACGAACAAATCTTCTACCTCGCCTCACACCTGCAAATTCCCGCGCTGGAAACCCTCGCCGCGGTATCCTTTCGTCACACACTGCATACGCAAATCTCAGACCTAGATATCTATTTCGACTGCATCAAGCGGATCTATGGGAAAACGACGAGGAAGAATCCAGGATTGAGAAACGCGTTGGTGGAAGCGGCGGTACAGGAGTTAGAGGGAATGCTAGGGAATGAAGAGGTGAAGGGGAAGCTTTGGAGGGTGATGAGTGAGAATGGGGAGTTTTGGGAAGAGGTACTGAGAGCGTTGGGGAGGAGGACGGAGGTTAGAGTGAAGGAGGTGATTAGGGAGGTGAGGGTTCCGGTGGAGGTAGAGGTGGAGAAGATTGTGGAGAGGGTTGTTGAGCGGGAAGTTGCGGGAGAAGCAGAGGATGACGAAGAGGAAGATGGCGAGGCGGAAAAAGACTGGACTCTATGTCCGGATTGTGGACCCAGAGATGAAGGAGAGGAATATGAGTTCAAGTGCGCTTGTCGAGAATGCGGGGTTGAGAGGATATTGAGCTTTTCTTAATGCGTGTGCATTTGTATGGTACTGGGGATAATGAGTGATGGATCTAATTCGGGGAGGGGGATGGCATAGGAACGCGCACACTTGCACTTGCACTAGCACGATTCACGAATGTATGAGATAGTAATAAATAATGATTGAGCTGCTGAGGGGATCTGAGCTCTGAAGATCTAGGAGTAGCTTCGGATTTGGGTTCAAAATGAAATGATGTGTATTGTATGTACGCAGTTAATAAATACTCTGAAAATATTGAATGGAATGTCCGAGTCTATATGATGCATTGGAAATTTCGACGTATCCCCTTTACCTACGTAACTATCAGTAGGTATCTAGCATCTATCCAGTATCTTCGCAAAAGTAAATGGGACGGATATACGAATATTAATATGAACAACACATCGATACATCGATATACCAAAACATCAAATATCCAAACCACCCAGGTGCTCATCAACAATATAACCATTCCCTTCCACACACACGTAGAAACTCTACCTCACCATTCCTTACTCACCATATCATACATATCCAACATTTATGAACTTTGAATACCTATATACCCCAAAAACAAAAACGAAAACAAAATCAAATCAAATAAATAGAAAAATCAACATGCTATGTCAAAATAGCAATACATCACATCACACGCAGTTCGATAATCATTTCCGATTTTGAATCGGTTTGGGGATGTTATGCATGAGGATGCTTGTTAGTGAGGAGATGCATGTTAGTGAGGAGATGCATGTTAGTGAGGAGATGCATGTTAGTGAGGAGATGCATGTTAGTGAGGAGATGCATGTTAGTGAGGAGATGCATGTTAGTGAGGAGATGCATGTTAGTGAGGAGATGCATGTTAGTGAGGAGATGTATGTTAGTGAGGAGATGCATGTTAGTGAGGAGAAGCAGAGATAAAGAGATACAATACCTGAATATATGAATAGGAGGCAGAGAAGAGATACAGCGACTTAAGTAGGAAATGCTTCATTCGTCTTTTGCTTTCTAGGTAAATTTCTCATCACGCAGAGGACATTCATATATTCGTAGAACCGTGGGTGATCTTCAGTACCTAATCATCGTATTGTGCACACAGCTGCATTCAAAAACATGAGATATAGAAATGGAGCCGAAGTTCATTCTCGAGACAAGGTGAAGTGACTTCGGAAGTTGCTCAGTATCGAACGGTTGTTGGATTTTCGTGTTTTCTCATAATAAAGGTTTATAATGCGCTTCTTACAGATGCTGGAGATATATTCTCTAAAATGCATAGGTTTTTCGTACAGATTACTAGGTCTACTAAGGAGATAGCTACTAAAGCTATCCACCGTCTCGTAAATCAACAGACATCGGTCTGAAGTCTAGTCCTGAGATATCACTCTCCGGGAACAGAGTACTAATAGATAGCGTAGGCAGGAGTATAGAATCTAGTCTAAATTTTCCCAGGGGGAAAAGGGTCATTCTGAGACTATAGCTGTGAATATGGAGGTGCTATCAAAATTCAAAATCACTTGATGGGTTTCTCGTCACTCTGAGAGATTGAGACTTCAAGTGCCGAATTCGTTGTTCAATAAAGTAACTCGCAGTTCGAACCATGCTATGAGGCATTTGAAACACAGACATCTGCTATATTATCACCTATAATTAAGGAGGGATCCCGAACAAGCAATTTTCTCAAATCCATCCTCCATAGACTGCCGAATTGCATTCTGATCCTTTCTCCGCGAGCACCTTGGCCTGGTGAAAATTGAAGAACCGATTTCATGTTATAATCTGATCATAGTAGTAGCCTAAATTCAGGAATTAACTTAGTGGTATAGATATTATACCTGATGAATCGTCTTTCGTCGCCCTCATAATCACTTAAGTCGCAACATCTACGACACCTTCGCTCCCCCGAGATGGACAAATTGGGACATCTGGGTCAAGTATTTTCTGCTTGAGATAGATTTCGTGGGTAAATATATAGAGAACAGAGACACGAGGAAGATGAGTGCATAAAGTGAGAATTTTGGTATGTTTAGAAGTATCGATTGTTAGATCGCTTGCTTCTCATTCTTTAGAAAATAGGAGTAGAGAGGAGTAACTTTGATGCGGCGGTTCAGGTGGCACTTGAGCGAGATTTCCAGGGGTAGAGGGCATCCAGGAATATCAAATGCTTGGTTGTGCCAAAGGGTGGATGCCGATGGAAGAATTTGTATGAAAGTGTGGGCTCTTGAAGGGCGAAGGAAGCTGGCGACGGGGGACGGGATGGCTCTTGGTCGGTTGACTCGATATAAAGCCATCCAATTGTTGGGTATGTTTTGAATCCATCATCTGTCATCTCAAAGCAATGGCTCAACCCCTATCTCTGTGCTTCTCCTTTATGGTTCCTCAATCTTTTCCCACATCTCGAAGACATATTTAACACCCCCTTCCTCCTTCACCCCCTCTACTGCCTCCTCTTCCCCAGTCCATTCTCGAAGTGCTTGAGTATCCGTTCTTCTCCATCCATTACCCGTCCCATCCTCATTCAACTGAACCGGGAAATACGTATCGCATTCAAAATCATCCATTATCCTGGTCAATAATATCCTCTTCGCTTCCTTCAATTCCAGTGAGGCTTTATAGATTTGTCCTCCACCGATTATAAAAACTCTATCGATCTCCTTTTCGTCGTTATTATTCGTATCTTTTGCTTGACTCCTCGATCCCAATTTCTCGAGTGCATCCGTCAAACTTGTTGCTGCATGTGCATCAGGACCGAGGTCAGCATCTGAGGGATCAGAGGTTTGTGTTCGACTGATCATATAATTGGCTCGGTTCGCAAGAGGTCGGAATTTAGGAGGAATTGATTCCCAGGTTTTGCGCCCCATCACTACTGCGTTTGTTTTCTGTTCAAGAATTGCACTTTGTCAGTTTCATCCATTTTCTGTCACTTGCCAAACTGTTCCAGCCATGCGCCTTAACTCCGAGAAGAACATTCGGAATAGCATAGCTTAGCCTTCCCTTCTATGTCTCTATTGGAAAATATAGAAAGGTGTGAATTCAAGGGTTCAGCTCCAATTCTCCATCTGTAAGTGACGTAAAGCTATACACAGAGGTTCAAATTGTAGCATGTATTGCTACGCAGGCAGAAATAGTGGTAGAGCAGATGGCCAATGAAATCAGGCAATACATACCCCAGGACCAGCCCTCTTGGTAACTCTCGCAAAATAAGCCATTTCCTTTCTCAACCCCGTCCATGGAAGCCCGCCTCCTTTACCCACTCCCATCTTATTTGTCGCAGCGACGATTAGGGTGAACTCTTTAATAGGAGCCATAGCTGATATGTTGGAATTGGTGGACATATTGGGTTTACGAAACAATGATAGGAATTATCAATAGAGGGGTTGGAGGGGTAAAATTACGAAGTCTGGGGAAATGTATGCACGGACCATTGAATGCTTGTAGTAATTTATTACTAAGCTTACATTGTGACGACCTCGCTCAGCAGAGTATGTTCACTCAGACATCTGAAAAGGAATTGATGATACAATTGCGAATTTCTCTTTCCAGACTTTGCTTCCAGCATTCCTATCCTTCCTTGTATCATTTTGGCATTTTGTGTATTCTGCCAACTGGCTTTGAATGGCTATAGCTTCTCATCTCTTGTGACGGCCTTCTTGGATGCTTCCACTTCGTTCTTTTCTTCTTCGTTAACTTTTTCGCCATTTCCGTTCGCGGGGGGCTCTGTAAATTTTATATTCTGAGACTGAAGAGGGCACTATTATTGATTAGTATCTGCTGGCTCCAGTTTGTCGTTTCAAATGTAAGAAAACGGACTCACACTCGATGTATCCGCGCAAAATCTGCATCTTGGGTTCTCAAAAAGAGTTTTACCAGAAAAATTCTGCTCAAGACGGACTGTTGCATAGGACACTGTACTCAAATAGTGCCATATTTTCTGTTGCTGATTAGCATCTTTCTCGGTGAGCTAACTCTCACCATAATCATGGACTCACATGTTTATACACCACAGCCGTGATCAGCTATGCTTAGTTAGTTTCTTTCCCGTTGAAACTCCATGAATGATGAACTTGCCTTATGACGCTCTCTATGACTTCCGATTCTACAGCCCGTACAGGAGCACATCGGATTTCCTTCCTTGAGCTTTTAAATGTTAGCTTTTTATGGCTGAAAAATATCTGGTTATACCTAGGTAGTCTGTAAAGATCCGACATACTTTTAAGATATTTAGAACGAACTTTAAGTCTGGCATCTTCATCAAGAGAGAAACGATATCAATTTGTTCGTTTCCTTTTTCTCGAATGCCATGCGTCGTTTTCCTTTTGACTGATCTTAATTCATTGTCATCTTCCATAGATCTTTTCAACTTCTTGCCTTTTGCAACTCCGTTTGCCATGGTCGAATTCGAAGTTGCGCTTATTCATGCAAATGTATTCGATAATAGAAGTGGGAGAATCGAAATGATACACGCATAGAAATTGTCTCAAGGTCGTATAAATTATACAATGTTTGTAACGATTGAAAGACGGAAGAAAGAAGAAAGACGTAACCTTCGAATACCTTGTACATCATCTTAAATTAACACTAACTTCAAGCTATCAAGACCAGCTCATGCAGTGTTCCTTCTTTTCACAGTCTTGTATGACCACATGATGTCCTTCCTCTTTCATCGAGTTCTTGTTGTATCTTCAATTTGCAGACAGTCCAAAACAATCCAGATATTGAAACAGGATAGAACGACCTACCCTTGGTTAGATTTACAATCACAGCGACCGTCACACAGAACTTAGAGATGATTGGTTAAATTTATCCCTCAAATAGCGTTATTATAATCTTTCAATATTGGCTTTCGAATATCAATTTGAACGACCAGACCACGACTATCATTTTGTATGTGAACAGATTGAAAAAAAAAGTATTCAAAAATCAGGACCAAATATCTCAGCCAACCAACTATCGAAATTTCAGCAGTAATTAACGACATTCATGATAAGACCTGAGACCCTTCGCACCTTCAATAAATGGCGCATAAATAAGCGAGATAACCTTCACTGTCTAGGTAGGTAGGTAGGTAAGCAAAGGCCTTAGTATATTGTGAGTAGGACATTATCATGACCACTTCCGGACCTTCTCTTGTAAAAGTCGGAAGAAGATATGACAGCGATCTTCCATGATGTCAATTTGATCAATGTTAACACTCTACGATATTCAAACAACCTTACATACCTCTTTGAACTTCCGAAAACCATAGCCATACCAACTAACCTACTACAGTCGCCTCGCTTGGTCGCACGATACATCACCAATCTGTGCACATTATTATGGCCAATCCGATGTCAACCCTACATCTACCTGCATAGGGGTAAAGTGGAGTCTCTTTCGTTAAAATTCATAAATACTTTTGAACTTGTAGATTCGAGTTGGCAAGTCCGTGATAAATTTCTGAAATTTATATCAAGAGCTTACAAAGTGAAAAACAATCGGTAAGAGGATTGCGACCAATTAGTAGTGACGAATTACTTGCAGTCTTCGCCATTGATAAGTAGATAAGTGTGAGATGTTGGAAGAGGTAACGACACCTAGGCAATGCAGCAGTATATTTGATATAAAATTCTGTTCATCAGACTGTATTTTCATCACCCCTGGGTAGTTTTCTTCTCAAACTAAAGATATGGCGATGTCTGTACAGTCATGGTAAAGTGAACAAAAATTCTCAGATGAAAGTATGAAGACCAGAGGAAATGCTCCCTACAAACTCCACCACATCCTCAAATGCTTTCACTTGATTGAGCCAAAGCGCTTAGAATTGATGATGATCAATACCCATAACCAACACTTTTATTGCAAATATTAACAATTCAGTTTATAACTTTGAAGTCTCTGTCGGGTATAATATCTTCCCAAAAATTGAAAGAAAAAGACCCTTAGAACCCTTATTCACGTTGCTCTACCAAACCAGTACTCCAAGAAAATGCCACCCCAGATCCGTACCTGCTTCATCTCATATATCTAACTGCGTAGAATCCCATCCCTTCCCATCACGACTTCCCTCCCGATTCATCTCCTCCACTCCTTCCATCCCTTCACTATTTACTCCTTCTAACATTCAAAACTCCAAACTCACACTCTTCTCTTTCCTCTCACATCCACCAATCTTTCCACAAGCTCCCGAGCAAGTAGACCCTTCGGATCTTCTTAAACTTGGGGATAATTCCTTTTCACTAGCATGTGCAGTTTCATGGTCTCGAGTACTCGATGATGTAACAAGTCCACCTTGTAATTTAGATGAGCAGACTTTGGAAGGGATCTTTTTGCTGGTGGATCTAGTCGTGTCTTTTTTGATTCTAGGTATGTTAGCAGGAGCATGGGAGGACATTGCTGTCTTGATGACTCGGGGTGGAGAAGGCTGGATTACTGTTGAGGCATGATGAGATGTGTGAAGGAATGAACCTGAGTTGTAGATAAGATCGACGAATGTTGTCTGATTAAATTGTTAGCTTTCAAGTATCATGAAGTAGTAAGATAGGAAATTCCATCTGCATGGTAATAATTACAGGGTGGTGGATGGCGAGTTCTCTTCTAGAAAGTCGCCGTTCAATATGTCAACACAAATACCGAGACAGAGTTAAATCGTTACGATTAGGATAGGGAATACCCATTCTTTTCAGTTGGGAAATCAAAACCTCCTTGCAGGTAGTGGGAAGCGTCCGGAAGGACCCAAGATACTATGGATCGACAAATGCGTCAAAGTGGCGTGATTTATTCGTAATGTGGCATGTTATCGTCGAATGTGCTTATACCGGCAACAAATGTAGTACGAGATAGAATGAAATGGGAATTGGATCATGCGTTGTATTCCGGGGTATCTAAACATGGGTATTATTTTTGGAAGGGTAGTATCAAACTTGGGGAAGGGAAAGGCGGTAGGTGCCGTGCAACATCATTCACCAAGAGTACATCGGCGATTTTCTTTAGAATAGTTGACAGAACCAAAAATTGAACATTACAGAATCATTTATGTTTAAAAAAAGCAGTCACATCTATCACTGTCACTGATAGATAAGAGTACGCAGTTGCCTTCCATCAGACAATAAATCATATCCAACCGACCAATATTACACAGACTCTTGCCTCTTTCCAACCAAGTATGTTGCGTATAGGATGTGTTGCCGCCGTATGTGATTGATCCCTTGGTAGAAGTCTATCAAAATATCAGTATTCACCATCCATAACGTCAAGAAAGTAGAACTCACCGGGCCGCGAAGGATAATATAGAATTCCTATTCAGAATCAAAATCAAGGCTGTCAAGTGAGTCATGTCTGGGCGCGTAGAAGTCGGTCTGATCTACAGTCAATTGCTCGTGCAATTCGCAGAGCGGACCCCACTTCCTACTCTCTCTCAATGCGAAATTTTGTTCCCTGATATTCTCAATCCACTTATCAATTGTTGTGTTTGGCTCTCGCTGGGAGAAGGAAGGTGGTTGTAGACGTGACCAAAGCTCGAGAAATATGAGGGAAGTCAAAAGAGAGTCACCGATTGGGAGACTTTCGGGGTCGGGATTGCTTTCGCGGTTGCAAATGATATCGCTGAGCGCATAGCGATCGCAGAGCAATCTTGTGTAGGTTGCAAACGATATCCTAAGGTCTACTAGGTAGGGAATAACGCCTGAAGCAGCATGAGCTGCAAGAATGTTCTGAAATTTGTCCGGACTCTCTCTGTATGTTTTCATTTCCTCGTTTGTCAATCCATACCCATTCGTCGAGATATTGGCTTTACGGAGTCTCCGTGCTAGATCTTGACGTTGTCGCTTCCTGTAAAAACATTTTAGTCAAATTGGTTGAGTGGTATAGTGTTTGAGACTCGATATACTTACTGACGCCTCCAGACCTCAACGGGAGAGGTTCTACGAAGCTTGATAGTGTCATTTCTAGAAATTCATGTTAGTCGAATTGAGTTTGCTTTGCGAGGCTGCAAATTCGAGATACACATACGCTTCTAAGGCCCTTTTGAACTCTGGATGCGCTCTTGCATTCAACTCCTCCAAGTCCATAGTCCCTGTTACCTTAGGCGCCTTGATTCTCGCGCCGTCAGGCTGTGCCAAAAAGCCACGGAACGACATCCTCGATATTATTGATAGATACTCGAGAAGATAATCAAATAAGATACTAACTCGATAGTGTTTTGATATGATGGAGTTTTGTATGCTATTGTCACTCAGGAAAGTTGTGGCTCCGGATATATGATATGTGATGAGAAGTATATATGGAATATTTTGATAAGAGATTCGATTCTGCCGACAAGAAATCACCAATTGGGCATATTGAGCTAGTTGAGGTCTAGCGTGGTTAATTTGACGTCTCTAAAAGACCTCTTGATGCCAAAAGAGTGTTATGAGACGTAGGGTTATAGAGCGAAGGTGGTAAATATTGAGGAAGAGAGGAATCGTTGTGGGGACCCTTCTTATATGAATAAGGTGGTTGATTTGACGTCTCTAAAAGTCCTCTTGATGCCAAAAAGGGGACCCTTTTTATATGAATAAGGTGGTTGATTTGACGTCTCTAAAAGTCCTCTTGATGCCAAAAGACTATTATAAGACGTAGGGTTATGGAGCGAAGATGGTAAGTAATGAGGAAGAGAGGAATTGTTGTGGGGACCCTTTTTATATGAATACAGTGGGCACCATCAAGAGCTAAACGAATAGCGTGGCCAACTTTTTTACAATCATGTATTCTTCTCAGAAAGAAAGTCACCATCCTTTATCCTGTTGGTAACCGTAGTATAACAGATTTTCCACGGAAAGAACGAGGGAGCAGAAGTGTTTATAGACAATTCGATATATGTTTTCGAAATTGGAGAATATTGATATTTGTCTTTCTTACACGATGCGGTGCATGTATTGCTATACGAAGCACCGTATATTTGTCGAGACCTACAGTACCAAAATGACAGTTAAGAAGCTGATTATCATGAATGTGACGTGTGTGTAATGAAGACTGGCTTCAACTTGCTGTTCGAGGGAATTTTAGCAGAAGAAACTGAGATTGTGGGCATTACAGAAGGATCGAATCGAGCAGAACACAGGTATGATTCTTTTGGCAGGCAGGATAGTCTTGTAAAATATTGTGCTACTTCATTTCTGGAAACATTTTTGATGAGAGGAGTTTACACCTAGATAATACTCTGTGATATTGTGTTTTGCTGTCGAGCTAGAACGAGAGATAAATATAGTAATGACAGCTGTGAATCTTTTTTGTTTGACAGCCCTTGTGTGCCAGTGGTATAGTGTGTCATGTATATCAAGATCAAATTTTGAGCAATTTTGCACTTTTGGCGGGACTCAATATTGACATTGGAATAGATTAGTTTATGCGAGCATTGTTTTGAAGATATATCTCATGCTGTGATGTGACATTTGCCATTTAGATAGTATGGATCAACTTTGCAGAGATTTTGCACTCCAGATCCTAACAGCACCGGCGAGATCGGTGAATAGCGGAGCAAAACTTTCATTCAGGCCAACAAACTGTGACTTAGGCTCATTTTTTTGGGATTGAACTAGGTGCGGTCATTGTGAATCCGAAATTTCAGGCCAAGTATGACTGATAAAAACCAGTGCACTGTTTCTGAGCAATGTGTTTTTGATGATGCACGACCCATAAGTTTTGCTGAAGGATCCTCACTACTTCGATTCCATTGAAGAATTTTGATCCCGATGATCTTGGTATAGCCCCTCTATAGATGCCCAGTTCGTTATCTACTTATTGCTCAAGTGATTATGTTATATTATGATATTCTAATAGACCATTGTGCGGGTCCATCGGAGGTATCTTTTGAAGCGTCGATCATCTAAGTATTTTCTGTGGGATTTATCTGGGGTTGAAGCTTTTCTTTTCGCGGGGTCGACAGGGCTTTGGCGGTTTTAGCGTTGTGGAGCACCGACAAGACGATGACAAGGTGGTACGGTGGCCATTCCATCGATCTGATCACCCTCTAGGATACTCAATTCTGTTTATAGCTTATAAGGATGCTAATATTACTTATGATGGGTACAAATACCCCGACACTAGTCTATGTCATTTGTCAAGGGTAGCCAACCACTTGATCTTGGTTATTTTGTTTAAGATTTTTAAATTTCAAATTTGTGCGTCTGTACATGTGATTCTAGTAATAACGGCAGGTGCTCGCAAGCAAGATCTTCCAAAGACAGTATGAAGCTACTATAAGAATAATTGGAATGAAAAGAACACTGTGAGGTCTTTTTATTGGTTGGGTTAATAATCAAGGACCACTCGTCATGTCATCGGTATATCGAAATCGTTAATCAAAAATAGTACAAGGAATGCTGCATAGGGGTACAGAAGATCGACATCAACATAGATGTGACTTATTAGAGAAGTACCAGGGTCAGGAAAGAGAAAGAGATGCTTCATGAATGCCTACTGGTATGGTCTGAAAATGGTAACGTCATTGTTTACCGGACGTAGATAACCTCAACTACCTTTTCATTGAGACGAGTAGATCACTCTTCTCTCGTACGCGTGCATTGAACACCATGTGGGGTATAAGACCTAATGAGTGATGCATGACCATGGTAGGTTTTGATAACGAAATGTGGGTTGGTTTTATCATTCAAGGTAAGAACATGGGCATATGTCATTGAAAAGAGAGAACATAGGAAGAGCATTGGAATACCTAGAGGTACTTCCTTCTTACGAAAATGCGTTCAAAAGACATTGTGGTGGTGCCTTCCATTTCAACTTTCAGCCGTTACAAGATGGTGATTATGTAATAAACTCGGTTATTCGTATATACATGAGTCTATATTCCACCACCAACAATGTATTACAAAGTCTTATTTTTGAGTATAAATAACGCTTACATCAACATTTGAATTCATAATATGCAACGACTATTATTCAAATGTAAACAAAGAAATGTAGTTCTTGAAAGGGTTCATACAATCATGTACTAAATGAGCGCTAGAGTCTAGGCGTAAGTTAAATCACTAGTTTCCGACCATCGAGTGGGGTCCCTCCCCTCTGTCACTCGTATCAAAGAAGACGTAGAATAGAACCCGAGAGAAATGGAAGCCTTACATACGCACTTGGAGCAAAGGATATTTTTCTTTCCATTTATCCAAAATTAGCGTCTTACCAGCTCGTACGACTTGATGTTTCTGACAAGATGACTATACTAACACTGCCTGATCAAACCATCTATCGAAGCATTTTCAGAATAACAACAGAAAGAAAACTTAGGGGTTGGCTCGTACCAGCCTTTACTATGGTTAAAAATCGCAGTGAGGATATGAGCAGGGGGGATAGAAGGACAATCGAATCTTAATGACTTGCAAATTCCAGACGCACAAATCTCAGATATGCAATAAATTCTTCATACCCTTATGATTGGAGGATCAATCTCCCTTCTAGTAGTTAGATGATATCTAGTCCCGGAACCAAAAAGCTTAAAATGAATAAATTTAACCAATAACTTCCTTGAGAATTCGAAACATGGAGAAGACGATACTAAGATCTTACAAAAGCCGGGAGCAGCTTGTATAACGTGATTTAAATATTTCCAATCTGCTAGATTGGGAGAAGCATAAAAGTAGCGTGAAGCTAGTTCCATTGAGTGAAATGATTTGTGTCTCTATTTCTATTTACTGACGCTAAGATCGGAACAGTCTAACATAGCCCATATAGAAATCCATCTTGCACTGCTTGAAGTTCCTCTCCTTTTTCTTTCCAAAACCCCAACTTCTCAAATGTTCGCAATACTTTACGTGGATTGTCTTTGTACTATAACAAATACTACACGAATAGATTGAACAATCATAACGAGAAATTATTTATCTCAGGCGGTAGCGAGGAGAGAAATGGGCTCCTTTACCAATTGTTTCTGAATTTTTAATCTGTTGATCCATAGAGATCTGAGTTCGGAGTAACTTTTTCTGTTCCCTATTTCTCTTACTTGTCCTAAAGAACCATCGGGAACCTCGTCAACCTTTCTTCTTCTAATAAGCAGGAGCATGAAAGTTAAACTAATTTCTAAAAGAGCCGACAACACAATAATAAACCAACGAATAAGTCTTCTTCTCTCATTCTGTACGTAGAGAACCCTATCATCTACCAAGTACCCTCACGTATCTCGACCTGACACAAAGAAAGATACCCGAAAGGAGTTTTCACAAGTCGGTTCGGATATACAGTTCCCGATGCTCTCAAGGGACTCACTACTGGTCCTTTGACCATTAGATCATTCTCTTTACAAACCTAGCATTCAAGAACTCTGCATATCTTGCACACCACTTATAAAACCCTCGAAACGTCGGCTTAGTATCCTTTAAAGGGTTGTGGCTAGGCTGTGGTATACAAATCCAACAATAAACACAAGCAAATCAAAACAAACCCCACAAATTTTTTGCATTAACAAGAGCAAGCGTTTCATTTTCCCTCGTTTCAGCACATTGTACTTTGAATTTGGTGTTTGATATTACTTTGATATTCAGCTTATTTTGATATTCCTGGGAGAGAGAAAGATATCTAGTAGTTCTAGTGTAACCAACCCCCTTTCCAACACCTCGCTGACAGGAATAATCACTTTGAAGCTATAATTTGCAACCAAGTAGGTCAATGCAAAAGACAAATGTCTATCGAGGGATTACAGATTTCCTTGCCCCCTAAGAATAAGATGTATCTTTTTTGTACGGGTTGGCGTGTATCTCGTCTTTGAATTTCTTTCCTCTCGTGTCCAATATCCGAGTATGTTGGGTGATAACAATATGGGAAATAATGTTCTGAAATTTTCAATGTGGGGCTAGATCCAGAGTATAAATAACTACCGCCATCACTAGATACTATATTGGAGAAGCGAGAATATCAACATCACTCAATATCTATGGGAACAGTACTTGCCGCCCCTTAGGGTACGAAGCTAGTCCTTGTTATTCGCAACTATATAGTAGTTCTATAGGCCTTTTCCGAAAGTACATTTATTTCCATTTATAATGTTTTCCATCCAATACATTCCATCTCATGTGTTTCGAAATCAGTTTATCATATTGTGAAGGCAAGTTGTAATGCCATTTTGATAGTGGCTGATTTCATTAATAATACATAA